ATTTTTTATAGCTGGGCTTATGGAAGTTAAGATTTCGCAATGGTCATAACAAAACCTTTGTGATCAATTTATCTTATGATCCAAGTAGAAAGCAAATGTGTATTTACGAGTTTTTAGTACCTAATTATATAGAGAAAGTTTGCCCCCCTCGAGATTGAAAACGACCCAAGAGTTTTTGTAAATAAAATAGTTGTAGGTTAAGATGAGATGAAACTATTTACGAAGTTTCAGTAGGATCTTAATAATTCGATAAAAAGGGGTCTGTACCATAAATACTCAGGATTTGCATTCTAGATGTATGTTTTTTCAAACGTTTTTGTAGTAAACTTACTTCCACTGATATAAAGTTATCAAGAAGACGATTATAGACGAGTTCAATTAAAATTATATAGCAATGTTTAGTACTATAAATATTTTTTTAATAATTCACATTTAATATTATAAATTTACTTTAATTGAATTATAAAATTAACTTTCTCGCTGGATATTGTACCGCCTCATGCGATATTGCTACAAATGCCGCCCAAGGACAACCAATTTATCAATTGTAATTCCAACAAACGAACAATAACACCTAACATCGCCGTTGTCATTTTATTCATAACAATAATCACACGGCCTTCTGCATGTTTAAAGGGATATCTCTATATCTATTTATTTATAAAGAAGGCCGTGTTTATATATTTTTATGATTTATCCATATTAATTATCTTGATAATAATCGTATTTTATAAACGTTTTTGTTTTAAGAATTACAAGCAGTCAAACTTCTCCATTATCATTCTTAAAATTACAAATATAATTTAAAATCCATCGCCGGAAATAGGAATTTGTCCATGGGGAGCCAAGCTTAATTTTCCTAGCTCCCACTAACGGATCCAGGATTTAATTTTTTGGGGGGGGCTTCAGCCCGAAAGATTTTTTTTTTAATATACATATAATAATTTGAAAAAAAAGAAAAACTACCTACCTATATGAAATGCTGTTTAAGTGGTTCTTGAAGTCCTATTAAACGTAATTAAACGAACAAGAATACTTTAATAGATAGTTTTTAATATTTTTTTCTGTAAACCGTGATTATATTTTACCATTTTGGGGGGAGCTTCAGCCCGAAACCCCCCCTCTGAAAAAAAAAAATGCACGCCATTTGTACCTGCGCTGCAGCGCACCTAGTAAATCTCATAATAATAATAATATCCAATATTATCCATTATCTGCGAGTTTTATTTATTAGTTTTTCTTATTATTGATGTAGTAATGGATCCTTGGCTATTTTCTTTTCAGTCTGCGTCGATCAGGTAACAGGAAGCAGGAAATAGAAAGGGCTAATGGATTTATGTGATTTAGAATTGAAGAATGAAATGGATTGTATTTGTTGTGGATGTAGGATTTTACTGTTGGGACGTTATGTCGTTATGTATAGTGTCATTTGAAATGTACAAAGATGCATTGACAACTTTTCGTAGAATTTTTTATTGTGTTGTTTGTATTTTATTTTCATATAAGTTTCATGGGAAAAACAAACACACATGAATAAAAACTCATAATAAATAAAAAAAATGTATTTTATTTATGTGTGTTTGTTTTGCCGAACCCCAAAATTCTACTCCGCATGTCCAAATTGGTCTCAGTATGGTGTTGTAGATTAGTAGCTTGTTTCGTAAGTTAAGTGAGGATCTGTAGTCTAGAAGATGTGAAAGTTATATTTTCTTTTTAAATTATAATTTATATAAAATTACTAAATGTAAACACGTGTCAAGAAAAAAGCATTATTCTCTAAAATCGTTATTTTTATTTTATTTTTTTTACGTTCAAGGACCACAAAAACATTCTTTCATATAGGTAGTTTTGTTTCCTTTTCTTCCAGAGTACATCATTTCTAAAATCAGATCGTCAGTAGGAGAACTAGGAGATTTAATTTTGGGTGCTTACACCGGGAGTCTTGAATAGTGATGTAAATAAAGAAAATAATATATATGAGAAGGAGTTAATTGGGAGGTGCGGTCAATTAAATATTAAATTAAAATATATTAATTATTTAATTTTTGCCGACGTTTCGACCCACTTTGCAGGTCGTCTCCAGGGCGTAGGATGTAGCACTGCGGGAGGCAGTTAAAACACTGCCATCTCTACATCATTAAAAAAAATATATAGTTCAAAAGCCCACTCTATTCGCAGATAAGCCAATGTAACAAGTATTTGTTTTTAATATCGGATAAACTATTCGTTTTTGAGCTAGGTAGCTAAGTTGCTCGCGTACAAACAGAACGTTTCGCGAGACTTAATTTTTTGACTTAAGGTACCGCAAAACTTGTATTTCCATTAAAAACTCGGATTCGAAATTTTTCATGATCCCAATACTTTCTCTAGATTGAAAGGTGGGCTTACGGGCTGAGTCTCTCTCCCCTCCCCCTCCCTCCCCCAAAAAAAGTAAAATATTACCATGCCTTATGAATAAAATCATCTCTAAAAGTATTATTGTTCGTGTAATTACATTTAATAAGACTTCAAGAATCACTTAAACACCACTTCGTATAAATAGTTAGTTTTTTTTTCTTTTCCTTCCACAGTAATTATGGTTATATTAAATAAAATAAAAAAAAGTTTCGGGGTGAAGCCAAAAAAAAAAGTAAAATATTACCATGTCTTATGAAAAAAATCATCTCTAAAAGTATTATTGTTCGTGTAATTACATTTAATAAGATTTCAAGAATCACTTAAACACCACTTCGTATAAATAGTTAGTTTTTTTTTTTCTTTTCCTTCCATAGTAATTATCGTTATATTAAACAAAAAAAAAAAAAAAAATTTCGGGGTGAAGCCCCCACCTAAAAAAAAATTAATAAAATTCTGGATTTTAAAATTCGCTACCTGTCTCTTAGTACAGGTAATTGAAATTGATACATAGAATGACTAAGATAGCATATCATTCTCCTCCCAGCAAATAGAGCTGGGAGGTGATTGGACGAATAATTGCACCCAATTGGCGTTCCGTGCTCAGTTGACAATGGCGGGGTCGATATGTCGTCAAGCTAATTCTGAGGTCTGAGGTCCGGCCGTCCATCGAGGTCTCTAATTAGTCGTTAGCGATTGGCCAATTGTTCTGTCTCTAGTTGCTTATGATAAGTTGGGTCATTCAACAGCCAAAGAACATATCCGAAAGTCAGGCGATCTTCATGAATTAAATCGAAAATATCTTTCAATGTGTGAGTTATCAATTAGAGGTGCTCGCATCCTCTCCCTCCTCCCCCAAGATCGATAGGCCATGAGCATATTGCTCTCCTCTTCTTGAAAACTGTAGAAGCGAGAGTATAATTTAAAAAATCTTAGAATATACATAATTATATTTGTTAAGATCTGTTCCCCACGTTTCCCCTTGTCATCTGCTTTTGAACATTTCATTCTGAAAATGTATAACCCCCTCGAAATGTGCCCCCTCAAAAATTCGATACCCCGTTAATATACATGTCCTATCAAAATTTTTGAAGGGAGGCATACTTTATCGGGTTTTTGAATTTTCGAAATGAAAAGTTTCAGACAAAGGAATAAGGAGAAAATATGGAATATATCGCAGCAAGTTTAATTGTATATGTTATGAGAAGTTTCTAATTCTACGTCCGCTTGCTCTGTTTTTAAGAAAAGGAGGGCAATAAAATATCTTGGGAGGGAGAGGGGTGTAGGTTTGTTCCATGTATTCCCTTTGTCTCCTTGTTTGAAACTTTTCAATCCGAAATTTCATAACTCCGTCGAAATGTGTCACCCTAAAAAATTCAAAATGTGTCCCCCTCAAAAACTGTGATGGCGCAACTTGCGCAATGAAACCACGTTGTGGACACTAGCGGATCCAGGATTTAATTTTTTGGGGGGTAGGGGAGGGAGGGTTTCATTCCGAAAAAAAAATTTTCATATATATATATATAACGATAGTTAATTTGAAAAAAAAAATTAATTAATTAACTACCTATATGAAATAGTTTTTAAGTGGTTCTTGAAGTCCTATTAAATTTAATTACACGAACAAGAATACTTTAAGAGATAGTTTTTAATACTTTTCCTTGTAAAATATGGCTATATTTTACGATTTTGGGGGAGAAGCTTCAGCCCGAAACACCCCTATAGATCCGCCTGTGCTTGTGAGCACCCCCGCCTATCAAAAATTTTGATGGAGTAAGTTGCGCCTTCTGCTGGTCACCCCTGATTACCAGCTACTTTATCAGGGTAGCTCCTTTTGTAGTCCTCAACTACTTCCAGTTCAATTTTTCTTATGTTTTCTCCCGAAGGACCTTTCTTCCAGGTTTTAACTTTGCGACAACCTGCCACTCGCCAACTTAAAACTACTTGCAACTTTAGCAACTGTCTTCTTCTTTGGGTTAGACCTATGAATGTTATCCATATATAAGCGAATCCCCTGAAGTGCAAGTAGTTCTTCTTGCTCCTTAGCTGGGGGAAATACCACTGTTAAAACTTAGAAACTTGTTTCCCTCAGTGGTTTGACCCTCAGAATGGCCAATGAGAGGTGTAGGCAACGATTAGTAGGAAAATCCAGTAATCAAATGTGGCGCTGCTAAACGCTACCGATAGTAGGAAAACATTTTTTCGGCTTCGTCAAGCAGCACCAATTCCATTTGTCAAAATGGAGTATTGTTTCATCTGCTAAGTTCTCCATTGAGCCTCACAATGAAATTCTTTGGTAGATGAGCCCTTACCTCTGCTGTCTCGTTGAGCTTCTCACCTCTGTTTAATGTGCATTGAGTTTTCATAAAAGTACTCCTTTTAGACGGAACGTTCCATTGAAGTTAGAAGAACAATTATGCATTCCACCTGCCAGTGTTTGGAAATTTCCAATTTTCACAAACTATTAATTTGTTTTTATCAGTTTTCATTCTTTTATATTACAATTTTTTTTTTTTTTTAATACAACATTAATTTTCTCTAACTTTTAATTGATAGATAGTAGTTTATTGTGCTTTTTAATTAATTTGTTTATTCTCACTTTCTAGAACGAAAAGAAATCCTCCATGGGGTGAGCGGCCACTTCCGAGGAGGAGAGCTGACGGCCATCATGGGACCATCGGGCGCTGGCAAGTCGACTCTCCTCAACATCCTTGCTGGCTTCAAGTGAGATCTATTCTTTAATTTAAGATTTGTCTACTATTTTATTATGTATAGATATATGGTTCTTGAACATATCACCCAAAACATAGAGCACCTGCTATTGCAATGCCCCAGACTATGTATTGATAGGGAAAAATACCTAGGAGATTATTATTGTCCAAAACAATAAAAAATTGTCTTTAGAAAATCTTCTAAATATTGATAGTGCGGACAAACTAAATAACATCTATTTCTTTTTGTTAAAACTATATATAGGTATTTAGAGTAAGGACTATATTATATTATTTTAGGAATAACCATTTAATTATTTATATGTATATAGCTTTGAGAATAACTATTTAGTGTAGTTCTATTTATGTAGTATTGGGAATGAAAGGGAGAGGAAGAGAGGGTGAGAGAGAAAGGGAAGAAAAAGAAATGTCTAATTCGATATATTATTGAATCATTAATTAATTTCCAGATATACACTTTTTTATATTGTTTTGGGTTTTAGAAATAATTATCTATTTGTTTATTTATTCTATTTACTTATTGGGAAAGTGTGTATATGTATATATATATATATACATGTTTTATTGTTTTATTTTTTTGTTTCTTTCTCTTTCAATTTGTTGTATTATTGGATTATATTAGGAGGTTATAATAAGCAATAGGAATTCACATCTGTATACTTATATATATCTTTATTTGTTTATGCTTTGTTTATGCTTTTATTGCCATTCAATACTAACATCAAATGGGCCAAACTCCATGGCTAAATGATGTACATAATAGCCAATAAACTATCTATGTATCTATCTATCTAGATATATGGTTCTTAGTATAGATATGGATGACATGCTAGCCCATAAACCCAAGAAATGTATATTGATTCTCCCTCTGTGGTCATTATGAGACTGTAAGGAGCCTTCATGAGTTTGTTAAAAGGATCACAAAGCCCACTTGCCAGACTTTTCTCTCCATCAGTACTATGGAGGAAGTATAAAAGCACAATGCCTAACCCACTAAGCCACCTCTGTCCCTTTAGAGAGAAATGGAATAAGAAAGAAAAATATATATATAAAATAAATAAATACCATAGCTGACATTTATGCAGCATACACTGAGGATTGCAATTTTAGAATTACAAAATTTATTTAACTCCTAATATATATATTTTATAGCCTGATGTAGAGACCTCAATTTCACAGAAATCAAGTGATTTGAATCCTTTATATTAAATATATTAACTAAATTGGATTTAGAATCTGGCCATTTTCCATCTTTTAATATTAATTTTTACCTCAATTATTCTAAATTATCAGCAGTCATTAAGTATATGTTCATATCAGTTGGTGTGGTTTGAAAATAATTATAAATAAGTGTGTACTATTATATTATATTTCAAAAACAGTATTCCATATTTTATACGATTTTTGACAATTCCAGAAAAAAGGGTTACATGGGAGATGTCTGTGTCGAGGGAGGCAGTGACAGGAAGTGTTACATAATGCAAGAAGAAAGTCTGCATCCTCTTCTGACTGTTCGGGAAGCCATGAATATTGCCGCTTCTCTGAAACTTGGATCATCGGTCAACACTAAGCAACGAGTACACAGGGTCAGTATCAGAATATCAATAACAAACTATAGGTTAAACATTTTTTTCAAATGTTATTCTTATTATTTGGCCCTTGGGTTTTGGATTAGAATCCGGCTGATGGCAGGTAATTATTTATTCTGTTTCTTCAACCATGGATCGAATGTCAGGAGACCCTCCTATGACACCTGGTCTCTATAAAGTGGGTAGTCTTTTATGGGTACTTTTTTTTTTTTTATTTGTCGGCCCAAGACTTCCACTGCATATGGGTACTCTTAATTAAATAATTATTTAAGAGGGAAAACCAGGTGATTGAGCGTGATCCTGACTCAATGATTTCCCTGCGCAACCGTTGTCCTTGAAACAGTACTTTCTTACTATGTACTAAACCCTAGACCCTGCATGGGTTGTAGTGGCAGTAGTGCAGATATTAAGCCAATCCAGTTTCTGGTAAATATATGGTATTTATCGACCCATTTTTAAAGAAATTGTCATGAATTTATTATAATTTCTCCTACCGATCCCTATTTACAGGTTGATTAATTGTTTTGTGCAATTCATCTTTGAGATTGCAGGTGATGCCTCTGTCTCTTGTTTTTATGAAGAGCTAATGTGCCCTACCATCGAAAGTATTTCCTTAGCAACTTTCCTCTTCTAAGTTGTTCAATCCTGCAGCTCCTCATACATCTCCCAGTTCCTTCAATTCAAATCTTTTGTTCACTTCTGCATAGCAGGCACTCTGTCTTCAGATTTGTAAACTTGGGCTCACCAAACCGCAGCATTCGACAGATCTTTCATTATCTGATCCTCGTCCCGATGGGATTTCATCCTTTACCATATCAGTCACTCCATTACCCCTTCCCCACATTTAAATCCTGCCTATTTAACAATTTCCTATCCATCTATTTAAAAAAAAAAATATGTATATAAATTATTTGTTCTTTCTTATTATATCTTTTTTATATTATATTTTTTATATTTATTAATATTAGAAGTTATGTTATGATTTCTCATTATTTCTATACGCATATTTTGATGTTATTTTTTTATGTTACTGTGAGACTCTAAATCCCTTAATTTTGTCCATATCTGTTGTTGAAAAGAGATTTGTGGGAGAATAAATAAAGAGCAGTAATAGCCAAAATACGTCCCATTGAACTTAGTGACTAAGTTTTCCATGGAAACCTATTCAGAATTATCACTATTCAAAAATGTTGGCATTATCGTTTCTTTTGTTTATTAGGTAAACGAAATCTTGGACTCACTAGGTTTGAGCGCTCACGCTATGACTCTTTCAGGACATCTTTCTGGTGGCCAGAAGAAAAGATTAGGAATTGCCTTAGAGCTTATAGATAATCCCAAAGTAATGTTCTTCGATGAACCGACAAGGTAAAGGAATATAATAAATTTAAATGTTTTACTGAAAACAGTAAATCAAACTGCCATAATTTCATTAGTGTAACTAAAGTGTAAATTTCCTTTTCTTTTTCAGTGGTTTGGACAGCAGTACGACAAAACAATGCGTGAAACTGTTGAAAGACCTGTCACGGGAAGGGCGAGCAGTAATCTGTACACTTCATCAGCCGAGCGCCACGATCTTCAAAGTGATAGACCAAGTCTATTGCCTGGCGAGCGGCTGGTGTATATACAATGGGGCGCCGAGTGGGCTCAATACGTTCCTTGGAGAACATGGTCTATGTTGTCCTCAGTATCACAACCCAGCCGATTTCTGTACGTTATATCTTTTCTAAAATTATTCTCATTTTAATATAAGAATAACCTTATTGAAGATTTCTATGTTCTAGGTCATTTAATCTTTTCGGTTCAGATTTAACATTCTTATTTATATTGAATATTTGATAGATCGCCGGGGTGGCAATCATAAATGGGCTAAATAATGGCAAAATTATTTTATTAAAAGCCAACGTTTCGACCCGACTTTGCAGGTCTTCTTCAGAGAGCTGTGTTCAGCTAGGAGTTTCACTTAGAACTCCCCAGTTCTATTCTATTTAACTATTCATAGTTAAATCATATACATAATTAATTAATATAACAATAATAATATGGTTTATTTATTCTGGGACAAGTCCCTTGAAAGAAACATCTTTCTTTCGTGAAAGAAACACAAAATAGAGAAAAATGAGTGCATAAATTGATCCAAAATAAATGAATTTTTAATATTATATTTAGTCGAATAAAAATAAAACATTATTTATAACTTATGGTGATTGATATTTTTTAAAAATAATTAACTGACCTGTGATTTGTTAGTACTTGAAATCTGCTGCGGAGAATATGGTGACCACATTCCTGCCATGTCCGAAGCCTGCAACAATGGCAAAAGTGAGGATTGGGTGAAAATAATCGCCTCTAGTAGTGAAAATATTAATTCTAGTAAGTAAATTTTTTTATATATATATATATATATATATATATATATATATATATATATATATATATGATTATATATAATATTAGACTTAAGAGTATGAAACAGAAATCTTCTGTAGTAGTGGACAGGCAACTGACAATTTTAAATGAACACAAGTCGAATCCTAGCTTGGATCAATAAATTTTCGATGGATAAGAAATTAGTGAATTTTGTCATAGTCGTAATCGTGGAGAGACAGACACTTCCCGAATACATTTATCTTTTAAAAATTAACTAGTTGGCATTAGTTTGAGAATAAATCAGATAGTTGAAGCACAATATTTACCGCATTAATATCAGTTTTTGATTTTTATTAATACACTTTTTATAATTATTGTATTCCGAATTATTTTCTCTCGCCATGCTCTGCTATCGAAATATGCTTCCTCTTAGAGCCATTCTCTCTTTTATATTTTCTATCCAGATCTTCCTTGATCCTCCCCTCTCTTTTCTGTACTCTGGCTTGTATAGGAAAACTTTTTTCGACTACCTATCATCTCCCATCCTCAGTACGTGACAATACCGTTGAAGCCTCCTGCTTTAAATATTATATAAAATATTATTTCTATTAATATTAGTAAATATATGCCGTTCCCTTGAAATGCTTTGCAACTTTTTAAAAAAAAATATCTGTAACGTGATCGTAATTTTAAAGGACTGGAATAAAATTATATATACTTCTAGGTCAGATGGGTAACGTACAAGTAACAACTCCAGTCCACGCTCCTGATCTACCGCCCCTGGAATGCTTTCACAAGCAAACTTATCCTGCCTCGTTTGTAAAACAAGTTATGGTCCTGGTCCAGAGGATAGGAATTCAATTGATACGGGACCACGTAAGTAGAACATTATTTTCTGTTTATAATTATATAATATAAGAAAAGTTGGTTAGGGATTGCAGTCATTAGACTTTTTGTTCCAAGTTTCAGGCCTGCATCAGAGCTGGTCATTCAAAGGATATCAGATGAGTAATGATATAAGTTTAAGACTTCATATACTCAGAACTTGTTGACTTGATTCTGTGTAATTTACTTTTTTGTCTACTATTTAATCACATTTGAATTATAAAAAGACAGTATATTGTTATATGTTATCTTATATTTTACAAATAATAATAATATAACCTCAGAAGCTCACTTCTTACCATTGGGATACTTCCTAAATAAATAAGAGGTTGTTTAATAATAAACAAAATTGTAAGAGTATTAATATATTTATTTATCTCAGGTGTGGGATAGTGACAATCAGATCAACTCAGACAAACTATTATTATTTACACTATACTAAAATTAAACACCGATTTTAAAAGTCAAGTATGAATTGGCAAGCTAACCTTTTTTCTATATACTCTGTCTCTTCCTTTGTTGTACTAAATTCATTTGTCTTCTAACATTATCTTATGTTCTGCCAAACACATCTTCCAAAATGGTAATACTTTCTACTACTCAACTTATGCTATTTGGGAGATCCGTTCGCTTGTAATTCCAAACACCTAGTCTCTCTGCCAAACAAAAACTTCCAAGATGGTAATACTATTACTGGATTTTTCCCACTGGAGCCAGGATCACTTCTATCCTCTCTTCACTGAAGCCAAACACCAACTACTTGCCAAAATAAAAACCTTTGTCCCTCTCCTCTTTGGGATTTTCCTTCTTGGGAAACTACACAGAAGCCATTTTCTTTTCCCTGCACTAGTAGAACTAGATTAGCTTGCCTTTTAATTGTTCAACATTAATTTATTAAACCCTTTTTACTCACTTCCAATATAGGGGTACATTACAATGTTCTATATTGTGAATGATCCTAAACGTCGAGCCCTATTACAAGGAGAAGTATCTGAAGCTTTCAAAATTCATACTGGCTTGAGGAAGATGGAAGGACTTGCATATGCTGTTCAACTTAGCATTGGAAAAGATGGATAAAAACATCACAAATGGAGGGGTGCACTTAATAATAAATCTTAAAATTCTTGAATATTCAAAAGATATAGACTCTACCACTAAGACTCTGATAAGAGAAGCAAATCAGCCTGCAAGTATATCAAGATAAAACAAAATATATTATATTAAGCTAAAATGTCTACCTCAACAAGATTTACATAGAAGGAAAATCATTCCTGAGAATAGTCAAAATCAAATACCTCGGCTTCACAATGACCTCAATGAATGACCAACGGGCAGAAATTGACCGGAGTATAATAAACGCAAACAGAGCTCTCTTCTCTCTTTCAAAGGTATTGAAATTCAAAACGATCTCTTAAAATCTCAAATTCAGAGTGTTCAATGCTATGATAAAGCCATTTCTGATAATGGTAGCCAGACTAACCAGCACCAGAAGTAATGAAAGGTTTGACAGGAAAATCTTTCACATAACCGAAGCAATCTGGGGTCAGATTACTAACGCCTGGAGAAAAAAGGCCAATAAAGAATAAAGTGTAATCACAAATGTATATTTTCAATTTATGACAATAACTAATCTTATAACAACAAGATAATTTATAATTAAAAGAACATTCCAACTCCATCGTGTTCTATATCTTTAACTAAGTAAGGTAGAGGAAATATGGTAAATATCAATAAATTAATTTTGGAATGTCGTTTAACACATATTTTCATCCAGTGTTTACAAAAAAAATACATATATTTCTTAGTGTCATTATAAAAATTATCAAACTAAATATAAAAAATCTGTGTATGAACAATCTTGAGTTCACAACTTTGTAATGAAGTATTGTTCTTAAGCCAATAGTTGTGTAAGGAGGTGATTTGACCATAACCATCCGCAACCGCTAGGTTATTCCTCCAATGAAAGAAACACTTCATGGAGGCTTAGGAGTTTCTAGGCATAATTAGCAGTTTCTCCATTGCAGATTCAATGATGTAACAGAATAAATAATAATCTATCATAGCCAGAAAAAACTACAACCGGACAAAACTACAAGAAGCACAATAGGACACAACTTAACAGTGATAGGACACAACAGAGAGTGAGAGATATTGGGAATAAAATAATGAATACCAAATAAATTAAAAAATTGTGATAATTGTGTTTTATTTAAAGTTAATTATGTTTTTTATAAGTTTGAATGATTCTTAAGGAAGAAATTGTAATTTATAATTTATATATATTTTTTTTGTTAAAACCAGATTCTTGGAGAGGCTATTTATGTGCTTTATGTTCTATCAATAATGCATAATAAAGCTTATATTATTTATTTATATGCTTAGCTTTCTCAGATTTCTGGAAAAGCATTCACATCCCGAAAAAAACACTGAAGTAGATGAACCGTGAAAAAAAAATTACTTATTTAGATACTTTCTAACAATCCTGCACATATCACGCAGAACTGTGCTTTTCAATATTAAACCATTAGAAGATATGATTATTGGCTAATCTTCACTTTTTCCAAGTGATATAGTGTTTTTAACTCGAAAGCAAGTTCTTGATATTTCCTAATTTTTTCAGACCTGGTGATTACCATGTTGGTATCACTCTTATCTCCATTGGAGAAGCTTTATGTTCTATTAAGAATGTATAATAAAGCTATTATTATTATTCTTTATTTTTTAATACTTTAAAAAAAGGTATTTTCCTGGAGTGGAGAAGAATTAACTTCAACCACTTCACATCAATTTTTGTAGTTCTATTGGATATTAAGGAAGCTCCTGACGATTCTCGCAGTGTTCAGCAGCACAGCTTTCTGGGCTTCACTTATCGTAGCTGTTGAGAGGCCCAACTTCTCGGTAGCTTCTACAGTGGATTTTGGAATCAGTTGATTGCTAGAGATTACTGTCACTTTGTTCAGTCTGTACAAATTTTTTAACTCGGCTGCAAGTGTTTGATATTTTCGAATTTTTTTGGTGCAGACTGAGTTGGTGTTGCCATCATTTGGTACAGCGATATCTATTATCTCAGCTGTCTTCATATTACTGTCGATCAACACGATATCAGGTCTGTTACAGAGCACAGTATGGTCTGTTATAAAAGATTGATTCCAATACAACTTCATTCCATCCTTCTGGATAAGTTCTTTAGGGTTATACATATAATAAGGTATTGAATCATTCACTAACTTTCTTTTTAAACCAATTGCCTGATGATAAATTTTAGCAACGTCGTCATGTCTCTTGAGGTACTCTGTACCAGCCAGCGAAAGTACTCTACACCCTTCAATAAATGCTGAATAGACTGAATACTAAATAGTTATTATTATTATCATACCCAGACTCAAAGCCGGGCCTGCATGGGAAATAGGAGCACAATACCTGAAATTATTAAATTTAAAATTTGAATTAAATATTTATAAGCATTATTCTACTGAATCCTTGAATAAAAAATGAAAATAAAATAAACATAATTTTCACTCTTATTGAATGAATAAAAAAGATTTGGTTAGCATTAAATATACATACATTTTGAAATACAATGTTAAGACATTTTTATTATAATGTTCAGTCATCTGCAGATCTTATTATCCATTTTAAAATGTTAATTTTATTTTGCAGTTTCTTATGCACTCACGCTTGATGATTCACGCAGTAATCGGTGTCCTCATTGGAATATTCTTCTTTGATATAGGATGTGACGCAGGCATGGTTTTTAGCAACTATAATGTACTTTTTTTTAGCGTTTTATTTTTGGCATTTTCAGCCCTACAGTCAATGGCTATTGCATGTAAGTTTAAAATAATTATAAAAATTTATATTCATAGTTTTAAAATATTTTGTCTGGAAAATATTGATAGATTAAAATAAAATTAATAATTAAAAAAAAAAAATGAAAACATGAGCCTGTCGTGAAAAGAAAGTGATAATAGTATCAAGGATAAAAAATAAATTGCATTTTCGATAAAATATTTTTTCAATTAAGTACTTATAACTAATATTAACACTCGCCTAGCTTAGAAATACAAAAAAGGCATAAAATATGAAAAAACAGAGAGCATGACTTTTTATTGAAAACACAGCATTAGATGTTTTATTTGAACTTCTATACATTTTATACTAAATATTCAGGCATAAATAAATCTTGTCTTCATTACAATATAATGTCCAAGAATATTTTATAATCAAATTTTTGTTTATTTTGTTTATTATAGTTCCGCTTGAGATGCCTATTATAAGAAAGGAGCATTTTAATTGCTGGTACTCGATAAAGGCTTATTATTTAGCCAACACGATAGCAGATCTTCCAATTCAGGTCAGTGCAAATAAACAGTTATAATACAAAAAAAAAATTTAGTTTGTGAAAAAAACATAGCTTTCAATGAAATTAAAATGACTAACTACCCATGAGTTAATATTTTGGTATATCTAAAAACGAAATGATTAAACAGCAGTTCACTCATGATTTCAGATCTATTCCTAGATCAACTTTAAATCTAATTTAAATATTAGATCAACTCTATTTCTAGATCAACTTTAAATCTAATTTAAATATTAGATCAACTCTATTTCTAGATCAACTTCAATATAATCTACCAAAATTAAAAAAAAAATTGTTAAATTCAGTACAGTCATCTCAATGGATGCTAGAATGTAAAGAACTAGATTTCAAAATAAAATGGATAAACAAAATACAAAAACAATGTGAAGGGAAAGACATTTTGGAAACATGTTTTCAGTATCTGAAATATACATAATATAATACAAACACAATTCAGGAAAAAATAAATAATTCCATTCTTTGAATTTGTTCGGTTCAATCCAACTGAGACTGAGTTTATGCAGAATATGACTACATTATATGTATTCTGGGTATATTATATGGGCGGGGTAGACAAGCTGGCTAACGTATGTGCAAAATGCATTGTGTGGCAACTGATAAACTGAAGATATAACAAATATTATAAATTAATTAAGAGTTTGTGTCCTGGTGCCAGGGTGGAGGGGGGGCTTTTAAATCTGGTAGTTGGCTCATTACACACCCTTCTTTCAGCATTTGATTTCTTTTGTCTGGGACTCTCTCATTCTCCAAAATATTTTCATTTCAATTTTTTCCCCACTTCTTTTCTAGGATTTTTTTTTTAATTGATGGGATATTTGTTCCAAGGCGGGACTATGCCATCAAATATTCTGTCAAATTTTGACGAATGTTTCGGTTCCTTTTGAACTTTTAAATAGGACAATTTTATCATTAAGACCCCCTAAGCTGATTGTTGGTCAAAAACTATATTTGAGTACTCAGCAGATAAGGGCAGGTACCTATATCCTGTCCGAAATTTATCTACAATATTCTGTGTTGACAATCTTTAAATATTTCTTTACTCAACAGACTCTATTTATTTTTATTTCATTACATATATTTTAATTCACACATAAACACTCTCAATATTACATACTTCCATAAACTGTATTATGGGTGTCTACTGGTTCTAATATTTAAATATCCTTAAACTCCTGTTTGATTCTGTTGTTAACATTAATAACCGTATGAAGTGGTTTATTATTCATATTGTGGTAAAAAACAACTATTTACTTCCTAAACTTTATTCAATTATCAATTCATTGTTTTTTAAACAAGGGATAGATTAAAAGGTTACAATTAATATAACTTGGCATACTAAAATCAGTGTTACCACCACACTGATCTTCATCTTGTATTCATGTTTACTGTGTTTTATTATTACTTAAAATTAAATAAGGTGATTGTATCAGGTATCGTGTGCGGTTATATATTGTACCATCGTCTATTGGATGTCGGGACAACCTCCTGAGTGGACCAGGTTCTTCATGTTCACCTTCATGGGAATTATCACCTCTCTCCTTGCACAATCGATAGGTTATCTTGTGGGGGCCTCGATGAAAGTTATGGTGAGTACATAAAAAAAATAATTTATTGAGATTTTGTAATATTAATATGTATATAGTTTTTGGCCAGATATGTATTTGTTCATCATTGTTATTCTAAGGGTAAAGTTTAATTTTCTATTCTATATGAGTAATAATTAATTATACAAAAGCACTAGTGGATTCAAGGAGAGAGGAGCTTATCTGGCTGAAGTAACCCTCTTCTTCTTCTCTCTCCTCCGCCCCACTCATCCCTTCAAAAAAATATAGTTTTATATATATATATATATATATATATGTATTTAATTGACTTAAAACAGCTTCTGTTTATTCCATTTATTCAAAAACGTTTCGATCCCTGTTTTTTTAACATAAATAATGGGATCCTCTTGAGTTTTTTAATTGAGCTTCGATACACCAAGCCGGACAGCACGCTGACAGACCCAACAGTACCGCCATAAGGACATCAAACTACTCTTGAACAGTCCTTGTGGCGGATTGCTAAGAAATAATATTAAAAATTTATCCCTAAAAGGATTTTTTTTTTCATAATATACTGTTTCTAAAAAAATTAAAATTGAAAAGTTAGCTTCTCAAAATTAAATCCTGAATCCGATACTTATTTGTATAATTAATTATTATTTCATTAGCACCTTTCTTTCAATACTTTTACATAATACAACCAGATAATCAAAGAGGATTTTATATATATATTTTTTTTACAGAATGGTGTGATGCTAGGTCCATTGTCCATAACACCATGGGTACTATTCTCAGGATTTTTCCTTCAGGCTAGAGATTCTCCCGACTGGGCTCGTTGGCTGTATACTATTTCTTGGTTAAGAAGATGTAAGTATAATATCAAAAATATATATTTGAGCTTTATTTCAGTTTTTATTTATTTCTATTTTTGTGTCGAGGACTATTAGGATAGTAAACTTTGTATGCATACAGTAAAAACATTTAAATATACTTTAGACATGGCAAAGAAGTATAGTATAACAAGATAAAATGACAACAACAAAAAATTTATTTATTATATATTTGTTTGTATTTTTTTTGCCTCTTTGAGCCCTTCTACAAAATTGTACGATATCATTTTCAACTCCATTTCATTCGGATGATCTTCATATGCATAACACTCAGTTCGTTTGTATATGATTATTTTATTAGCATAATTATTTCTGTACCCAAGATATGAGCTATAGTGGAAATTTTTTGTAAAGTAAATTTACTACCAATAACGCTTACCTGTAAAATACATAAAATAATTTAATGGCAATTTCTATATGTCAAAATTATTTTTATTTTTTTTTAATTACTCTTCTCTACATCTTTTCTTCTGCCAATGGTTGTAAAAATTGGTTTTGGTTCTTTTATTTTTTCATTCACTTTCAGCTTATCGCGATAAATAATTGTAATTATTTCAAGAAATTGGTTCGTACAGCTTTCTTTCTCAACTTGACTGCACCCCTCGGTGCTAGAATTCATTGTTTTATTTCCCTTTCTGATTTCAGGTATCGAAGGACTCGTTGCATCCGTCTACGGTTATAAAAGACAAAGATTGCCTTGCATTTCAGAAGATTACTGTCATTTTGTTTCTCCGCTCAAATTCCTGAAAGAACTCGACATGGCAGACCAGTCCTTCGGTTTTAATGTTGCATTCGTTCTCATTTTTTATATATTTTTAAAAGTTTGCACATATTATATTCTTATTTACCAGCTAAGACTCAAGCGGTAACAAAAAATATGAACTATGAAGAAAAGGTTTAATTGTGCCTTTTAAGTGAACTGTTGTATTTCACAAACTTGGTCTCGTTTAAAATTAATTGAGGTCAATGTACAAAAATATTTATTTTTAGTTATTCATCGCGCCATGATTTTTATTAATTATATTTTAAAATTAGGGCTATTGCTAATTAAGAATTTATAATGTATCTGTTTTGGTACATATGTTTGACCAGCATGATTAATTTACTATATGCTTCACATATTTGTAAGAATAGTATATTGTTTGAATCACTTTATTTACTTTGATTTGTTTTCCCTGAGAATCAACATGATGTGACAACCAAAGAACAGAAAAAATCATAAAAAATTGTTTTATAAGATTTTTTTAAATATGTTTTATTAAAATGGATTTATCTGTGATCATATGATTTTAATGTAATGAAAAATAAAAGAAAATGCATTTGCAAAGTTTTAAGAAAAACACTATGTATTTCTTTAAAAAGAAATTAATATCTTATATTTTTATACAAAAAAAAAATTGTAGAAAGTGATTGAAAAAAGTACAAATGGTTCTTAGGTTGAAAAATAAGATTCATTATATATAATGTGTTATTATAAATCTTTAACGATAGAAAAATAAAGTTTAGTAGTAATCAAACTATTAAGTCGCTCATTCAGTGCTTATTACAGCGGTATTAGCTTGAAGTATTTTGTATATAAAGAATTTATTTTTACTTGAAACAAGCATCTGTGATCATATATATAAGTAAAATATCAAAAGATTTATTAAGTAGCAACTGTAGACGGTAATGTCGATACCTTGAGTGCCATGGACTTTCCCATTTTGCCTATACGTCACTTGTGTAGCTCGACCATTATTGATTAAATCTTTGCTCCAAACCCAGGGATCAGGGCAATAGTCTAATATTAATTTTATAAATGGAGGAAATAAGTGAAAAAAAAACATTTAAAATTTTATATATGTATATATTCAATTCCGCACTATTTTCGCTCATCAATATATTTTTAAGAGCCATGAATTTTATTCAAGTAAGAAAAACAATAAAAATAAACCAACACTCTGAGGAATATTCCGTCCCTTTTTCAGTTTTATTTTTTTCAATAAACCTCTTCATTTCCTACACCCTTGAATGCTAATGGTAAGTTGATAGCTTGTTTTACCATAATTTTGTCAAATGTACTACCATGCCAGAAAAATTAATATTTCATGGTCTAAATTACATAATTATAAAAAGCTAACTAATTGAGACTCTTTGTTAAACAATAAAAAATATAATTTTTAAATAACGTATAAAATAAGTAATCAGGAACTTCACAAATATTTATACTATCAGATGTTTTATCAAGTCTGTAAATCCTTTTAGTTTTACACACCATACTTGGAGCTCTTCCTTTTCTGCATTAACAATTTATCATTCCTGCATACCATTCCCAGAATGATATCATTCGCTGGTACTGAGCATGAGTTAGAAGTAACCAGAAATTTTTTTTTGGCATACAATTGGTTGCTCTTGTCAAATTTTTTGCATCTGTTTCAACTGGCTTCAATCTTATCTCTCATTCTGAATAATTGTTTTCTTATTTTAGACATGCATTAAAATCAGAATCATCAGATGAAACTCAATATTATCTTATTTGTTATTCACAAGATTTCACACTGAGCCAAAAATGTTTCAAGTTACATTTTGAAACGTCTATAATTTTTAAATACAAAAAAAATTGGTTTTCCCAATTTATCACAAAACAGTCAAATTGACGAACAATCGAGTGGTAGTTATTCCTAAATGGCACTGGACTGGTTAAGATTCAGTTATCTGGGAGGCGAGGTATTAATATATTCATGTTAAATATTAATATTGACCACTCGAAGCAATGATTTAATTGGGCTCCCCAACGCTACCATAATCTAGCTGTGAAGAAGAAATTTTAAGTAGTGCTCGTCGTTTCAACTACCATTAGTACTCCATTAATTTTTATTGCAGCCTCGTAACCTCCTAGTACATGCAAATGATAAAATTTGATGTTAATTCCGTAAATATTCCAATATATTGGAATAGATAAGGTTCTGTGAATCCTAGTTTTTTCTTTGTGAGTTAATAAAGGTTATCGTTTGTTGATGACATACAATTAGAATCTAGAGAACCCAATTTTCATACAATGGCTTACTTCCAGATCCTTTCTTCCATTGCTATGTTGTGTTGTACTTTGGTTTATTAAATTATTTTTTTGTTTTTTCTTCATGTCATAGCAGCTACTTCGAACCTCTTATTTTTTTTTTTATATCCATTTTGAATAAAAACAAGACAGAGTGTTCGGTAAAATAAAAATCTCCTTGTACTCACTTGCAATCATATGTTAGCACATAACCAGTTGAAGAAATCTCTATTAAGAATTTAATAGTTATATTTTCGTGCCAATTATATTATATGTATTTTTTCGTATTTGCTATATATTATTTAGTTAAAATCCAATTTTAATATTGATTTGATTTTAAATGTACATATTTATGGTACATTGTGTGATTGAGTATTCCTAAAATATAATAAAATTACAAAAAGAAAAATAATTTTGTTGATTTATGAAATAAATATTGAATTTTTTTTTTATTTTCTTAAACTGATTACATGATTCCTCCACTAATAAATAAGCAGTTTTTTATTAGAACACATCAAAAGGCTATTGGGTTATTGTATTAAGAATACAATAAATAATTAGAGTTGAAATGTAACTTATTTAAAATAAATTTTCAATCCTTATTTCATGTGATATAATATACGTAACATAACCAGCATTTAGATATTTTTAAATTTTTGTGTTTTAGTGACTTTTTATGAAGTTTTAAAGATAAGTTAAGACACCGGGTTTTCTTTATAATCCATGTTCATTTAAATCCAAGCCCAGAATAAATTTAATATGTCAAAACCTTTACTCAAGTATAAACATCACATTCATTTGGGGTTTGGCATATTAATAATGCAATTGTTGTTGTAAATTAAGTTACTTGATTCATCAAAAGAATATAATTATACATATAAAATTGACCAAAAGACAATACAGGTGACAATATAAATTGACCAATAACGGGATTAGTAATAAACATTTGTTTTGCATAACAACTTAATCAAATATGTATATTCTTAAAACAATGTATTTGTCTGTGAAATCATAAAATGATTTTCTTGCTGATAGAAACAAAAGTTTAAAACTTAAAAAAAAAGTGAGCATGCAGAAATTTATGAAAATATTTTAAATCATTAATTATATCATTAATGACATTAAGACAAATTTCAATGTAAAGTATCGTTATGAATATTCTATAAACAAAAAGATGTTTAACATTCTATTTTTTTCATGTTAACAGAGTAAATAGCTTTAATATATGTATGCCACTTTGTATTTTGTATTTCTATTTCTACCTGTCATAAATAAATATTCTTTTGTTATTTTCTTTTTTTTTTTTCTTTATAAAACCATTCTTATTTCAACTTAAATAATTTTATTTATTTATGCTACTAGAGTTAATACACACCAATTGTTAAGTTTATCTTCTTTCACACATTAACGTATTAATTTCTTAATTAATATAAAACCTATATTACTTTTAGCTCCTTCATTGTAACTTTTACTAACCTATATATAAAATATATAGCACTGTGCTCATAAGAAATTTTGAACTGATATTTTCAACAAAAATATATTTTCTAAGTACTAATGAGTCCAAATAAGCAAGTCACATAAAGTGGTCTGTGAAAATAACAGCTCAACAACAAAAACACAACCCAAAATTAAATATTTTGCTTTCTGGCTCCTAAAGGTATGGCAGCTTTATATATCAGCAGAAGATTAAAAAAAAAAATTGTTCTCAGAATCGAAAATTTCTACCCCTGTTTCAAGTTTTAAACATCAAGGAACAAAGATGGTTCTTTTTCCTGCCTGACAGTAGACAAATCCATGTGAGTGACACATCACCAGATATGCCCAGAAGTGGGAGAGAGGAGGAGAGGGAGTGCAAGTTGTGCTATCAAAATTTTAGAGAGGGCCACATTTTAACTCGATTTTTTAATTGTTGAGGGGGGCAAATTTCAAAGGGGCTATTCATTTTCAGAGTGAAAAGTTTCAAAACAAAGAATTAGGAGGAAAACATGGAACAGACCACAGCAATTGTAAAGGATCAATGATTTGTCTAATCCTACTTCCGATTTTTAAGAAAAAGAGAGTAATCTAATTTTTGAGAGGGGAGATGGTTCATGCACAAATTTATTTTTCAATTATGCTTAAAGTTGGAGTGAAGGTAGGCATTAATGATAAAATTCTACAGTATCAATGTCACCTAATTTAGTCTCCTATTTTGGGTAAGAATGGCAAACGTATTTTTTTCTCTATTTCTATATTCATAAACGCCTCATTCGATTTAGCCCAAAGTTGGAGAACATTTAAGAATAATATAAAAATGACCAAGTATGAATTTCATCGACTTTTATTTCAAATTAAAATTAATATAACTGTTAAGAATAGAATGATTTTTAAAGATTAGAATGGTTTAAGCGGTAAACAATAAGCATGACAATGGGAAGTTTATTGCTAAGAGGTTATAATACTTTTTAAACCAAATTTGATTCATTAGAAGTATTTTTATAGTATTATTATATTCAGTTATGTGTAGTTACAAAACAGTTACGAGTTCGCGTTCCGGTGCCTGGGGAGCTTTTTACTCTGGCATTAATTAATACCTCTTCCTCTTCTCCCGGCCTGTGAAAAATCTGGTAGAGCCTAAAAGGCGAGATAAAGATGGACAAACAAATTATAATCTTAGTGATCCCAAGTTAATTACTTGCAGACGTTTAAGAATGGTATGTAGTAGGGATGTTACGCCAACTTTTTCGCTAAAATCGACTAACAAAAGGTGGCACTTTATATTATTATTTATTTCACACATATTTATAACTTTCTCGAAAACCACAGAATAATAACAATTAATAAATAGATATCATTATTGTTTTTAAATTGTTATATGTAGTGTTATATAATTTTGTATTGTATAAATTATTAAATATGTACGTGGTTTGTAACATTAATAACTATACCAACACCAATTAGCCAAAATCTCATTGCTGCATTGAGTATGTATGTATAAGCCAATACATACATATATGGCTGGTACCATATGCATGTTTTCAACCAAAAATAAATTCAGTTAATTATCACAATGTTGATTGCGAACAATAACTCTTTCGAAATAATTAAAAAGCTATGACGAAAATTATAAACTTAAATGATTAATATGAAAAACTAATTAAGTAAAAAAAATTTAATAATAAAACTATTATTTAAAAAAATAAACGATAAGAAACTGAATAAATAATAAAGACTGATTAAAAAGTATTTATTGGTCATAATAAAACTAAATCATAAACAACAAAATATGATTTCATCAAGAAGTTTAAGAAAAAAATTTACCTGCGCAGTACGAGCGTCACCTTTTTCAAGCATAAGAACGAAGAGAGACAGTGTTGCCAGATCAATCATGTATTTTCTCCTACATTATAACGAATATAATTTGCACTTATAACATGAGTACAACTAAATATTTAATTCTTATTATTGTAATATTGTAAGAAAAACTATCCATCTTGGATAAGATGACAACAATTTATTCGAGGTTCAGGGTATGTTCCTAAAATCGGCGCTGTGCTCATCGATAGCATCAGGTCTGTCTCTTAACTGAGCCAAACCATGTCATCGATGAACTCATTGTTGAATTTGAGAGTTGGCCTTATTTAACCCTTTGAATTCAGTATATTTAATATTGCTTAAATTAAGTTAAATCTGTTACTAATTATTAATATTAATTAGTTAGTATAAGTATACAAGTTGAAATATCAGATCAAACTAATAAGTGCCGTCCTTAAAACTGTGCCACCTCCCACATAATTACTTCATGAGTATAATTACTTCTCTCCGTGCAAAATTAAAAATTTGATCCAGGAGGAGAAAATGAGGCACATATGAAGTATATTGTTAAATTAATTTATATTTGAATTGTGTCACTAGCGGATCCAGGATTTAATTATTATACAAATTATATACAAAGTTATTATTTTATTGATGGAAACAACTCAAGTATAATTTCAAAAAACTTTTTTCCACTTCTTCTAATTTTTAGCTTCTGCTCAATTTTTAGCTAAAATGTTGAAACCAATAACGGGCGGATCTACGGGGGGGGGAAGAGGGGGGCTTTCGGGCTGAAGCCCCCCCCCCCAAAATGGAAAAGTATAACCATGTTTTATGGAGAAAAAATTTAAAAAACACCTCTTAAAGTATTATTGTTCGTGCAATTACATTTAAAAGTACTTAAGGAATACCTTAAACACCATTTCATATAGGTAGTTAGTTTCTTTCTGTTTTTCCAAAGTAATTATCGTTATTTTTATGAAAAAAAAGGTTTCGGGCTGAAGCCCTCCCCCAAAATTAAATCCTGGATCCGCTAGTGAAACCAATATTTAGCAGCAGATTAAAAAAATAAAAATTTTCACTCTGTAAAGTACCAAGAACATTTCCATCCTAAAATAAAACTCAACTTGGCAACACTGCTATGACAACCAATTAAGTCATACATAAAAGAAAGGGGATAACGCTATTTTCATTTGTTTTATTTAATATTAATAATTAAATATAAAGAACAATGAATTTTCAAAATATTTGTTCCTTGAGCTTATTTTAAAAATAAAAATATAAGAGGGTGGTTAATGAAGAAGACTTAAATAACTTGAAATCTTTAGTTAAAATTCTTTCTTGTAATAGAAAGCTAATAATTTTTATACCCAGGATTTATTATTATCAGAAATACCATACGATTCAAATGTTTATTAGATTAATGCATTGAATACTTGCATAGAAAACGAAATATACGTCGAAAGTAAGTTTATTACTTTATATTTATAATCAACCAGGAAACCTATTTCACTTTAATGGTTTACAATAAAGAATAATAGTAATTTTTCAAGGTGGTTGACGATAACCTTGAATAATCGGGCGAGCGATCAGTAAATACAAGTGTTACCTGTGATTCACAGAACTACAGCTGCCAGTGCATCCAAAACAAAATTCATAATATTTACGATTATTTAAATGTTTCTTTATTACTTTACGTTTTAAAAAAACTCGAAAGTTGCCCTGTTTACCAAATCTGAAATAAGCGATCTCAAAGATATTCATAATAATCCATAAATATGATACTAAATTTTACTTTTTGATGTATCCCCACTCTGTTGCTTTGTCATAAGCGCATCTAGTGTCAAGTGGTTGTGTTGATATGGCTTGTGATACACTTTAAATTTCAGTTAGAGTTTGTGTATATTAATTCTATACTAAAATATTAAATCAACTGCGATTATATTTTATTAATTCCAATCAAGGTAATAAGAACTAAAACATTGTTTTTTTTAATGAAGGGTAAAATTCAGTTTACCCTGTAAATATACACACACACACACACATATATATATATATATATATATATATATATATATATATATATGTGTGTGTGTGTGTGTGTGTATACATATTTATAAACAATATCATCTGTTTATTGAATAAAGTTACTAAGGTAAATGAAACAGTAGCTGGCATTTTTTTTAAGGATATTTCTTTGAACTTTTTTGTGTAACAATTTTAATATTTATGTTATTATATTTTTCTTGGATCCATCCTATAGAACTGCTTCTCACCTTGCCAAGAAATATTTAAAATCCATGAAACATCAATCTAATTTAAAATAATTGTAAATTTACAAAATAGTTTTGTTACACCGATTTGGAATGTTCCTATAGATGACATTGATGTAATTATGAGAAATAAAGTGTTGACATTTTTTATTTCATTTATAAATATTATAGATATTAACAAAAAATATCTTGAATTGTTTATAAAACTACCTTCTTACGTTTCCTGACTTGAATCTAGGGATAAGTGGTAGTGCCAAGAAACCTCTTGGTAATAGGAAAACCAATTTTTGCTTTGTATTTAATACATACCACTATAATTTTTGTTTTAATAAATATATAGTAGATAACCATTCCATTTTTAAGAGTCGTTATGTTAATTATATATCTTTGAATTTATGCCAGTACAGGTCAGCAACTGTAAAAAAAAGGCCCAATTTAAGGTTTCAGTTTCTGACAGCCATTATATTTCCAATTCCTTTAAAAAAAAATCTTAAATCTTTAAAAAAAAACTGAAAATAAAACAATTTAGAATAAACAGAAGTAGTTGAAGAGAAATCTAAGGTATGGTGTCCTTATCGATGGTTGTTCCTAAGACATTTAAGTGGACCATGAGAGACCTTCCTGATAGTCACTCATTATTTCAGCATCGGTTTTCGGCAAGACTTGAGTAAAGCAAAGAAATATCTAACATTTATGACATAGAGGTTTAGAAGATCCTGAAACATTTATTCCCATTTTTTGAGGATGATGTCGGGTAATGGTACGCTGTCAGCTACCGGGACTTTTACCCTAAGTATATTTTTAATGGAGCTATACTTTTACGTAGATTTTGACCTTATTTATTGATGCAAAAACACAAAAAGTGTGTAATGTTATGATATTTACTTTACTGACATGGCAATAAACACATAGTGTCTCTTTTTTAATCAATTATTTTTTATGAAGTTAATTTTATATAAATATTATATAATAGTGAAATTATTTGAGCTGTAAATAATTCATTTTATATAGTATAGCATTGTTTACCAATGAATATACATAATTTGTTTATATTGTTCTTAGGAACTGAATTTTTTAGTTTTCTTTCACTCATGAAACCAAACTATGAAAGGAAATAAATATCAAAGCAATTTTACTTCCAGTGTTAAACTTGCATCTTTTTTGAAAACTGGGTATTAAAATAATAGAGATAATATGATGTAGTTTAGTATATTTTTGGAACATTAAAGTAAAACTTTACAAGATGTTTATGAAATGAATATCGTTTTAAGGAAATTTCAAAATTAATGATTTTAAAGGTATTTGTTATAAATATCACTGGTTGACAAGAGGATCAAGATTAAATCTATCCTAATTTAGATAGATACTAGGTGTTGACAATAATCCTTTTAATTCATCGCTAAAACTTCCCACAAATGATTTCTAAGGAAGATGTCGAAATCTATCACCTCCATATACTTCTGAAAATGCTACTTTTGTTGTTCTGTATGATTGATCTGATCCTGACCCATCCGTCAGGACTTGACCTTTTGAACTAGTATTATTTTAAATTTAATAGACAAGTGAGGCATGACTAATTATTCTTTATGTACAAGTTATGTTTTCTTGAACAGTGACTGCTAATAATTAAGAGTTATGCCTTTGTAGATTTTTATAAAACTTGGTATAAGTGATAAGTAATGGGGGAGTGGATCAGCTAGAATTATTCTGTAATTAAAATATTCCACACATGTTCATTATAAAATCATTCAACTGTTTTTTATTTTTACAGGTTTCCTGATTCCTCCCCTCTAAAAATGGAACCTAACGGAATGACGTTAAGACAAACTGCAGAACGGTTGGCTTCTGAAATTAACATAAAGAGCTTATTATGTCTTTACAGTACTTCTTCTGATTTGAATAAGATTACTAATATGTTGTTAAAAAGGAAACTTGAGCTGCAATTTTTTTTTAAATCTGATTTCAGCACCGAATTAATCAGTGTTTTGAGATCACTAGTTCCCATTTACAATCTCCCAAATGAGCTAAATGATCAGAAATCAGAAATATTATCAACTACACATTGTGAAGAATTTTTGGAATCTATAGAGCATTATCTTCTCGGAGTAAAAAAAATGCCAAAAAATAAAACTAAGTTGCTGGAAGAACTGCACTATATTATTTTATATTTAGATGTTAATGTCAATCAAATACCTCCGTCTAATATTCATTACAATAAGTTTTGGGCATTATTAAAACTCCTTCATGGCACACTTATAGATAGAGGTTTTCAAAGTGAAAATTCAGTTTTATGGATTAGTGAATTGATACAGCTTGTTGAAAAAAAATTCCTTTATATAAACAGAAAAAATTTAAATTGGAGAGAATGTTCTATTTATCCACACCCCGTCGACATCTTTGAAAGTAAGGATTTGATCACCAATAAGACGTTTGGAGCTTATAAGGATTATGTTGAATACTTAGATATCCATTTCAAACTGTATAAAGAAGATTTTGAAAGTAATCTCAGAGAGGGATTACTTCAGTATAAAGCTAAGCTTAGAGGTGCAAACATCAAAGAAATTGTTGAAATTTATGTCTATAATTGTGTGAGAGTGGAATCTATAGAACTTGACAAAAGTGCAAAAAATGGTATTTTTCACAAAGTCACCATGACTGTTGGAAATAAAGAAGATCCTAACGATATTAATAAATTGTTCATTAATGGTTCCCTCTTGATGTTTTCCGAATGCAGTCAGTTTTCAACGTTCATTCTTGCTATTTTAGTCGATGTTTTAGAGGTGCCAGAAGAACAAAAAAAGTGCTGTAAAGCCTTGAAAGTATCTGTCATCGGCGACCCGTCATGGTTGAAAGTGGGTCATTCTTATACCATGGTTGAACCAAAGACATTTTTTGAACCTTATCACCAAGTTCTAAAAGTATTACAAGTTTTGGATTCTGAAAGTTTCCCTATGAAAAAGTACATTGTTCATGCCGATGTCAGTCCTAGTTTGCCTAGTTATATCAGTTTTAACACTGAATATAGCTTTGGTGGTAAAAGAATAAAATTATTTGGTAAAGACAAGTGGCCAAGAAATCTTCTAAAACTCAATTCGCAACAGATCGAGGCTCTTCAGGCTTCGTTGACGCATGAATTCATTCTAATTCAGGGCCTACCTGGAACTGGTAAAACTTATCTTGCTGAGAACATAATTAAGATTTTAATCGAAAACGGACATTTGTCTACTCCTATATTGCTCATTTCATCCAAAAATGATTCTGTAGATCGCATTCTGGAACCTCTAGCTACCTCTGGCAGAAAGGTTGTCAGGTTGGGTGGTCAATCTAAAAGTGCTATTCTGAAGAAGTGTACTATTTTTAATATGATTAAAAGATCAGGCGGTAAAGAAATGATTGAATCTATAAATAATTTAAAAGAGAATATTGAAAGAAAAATTAATGCAAATGAGAAAATAGATGAGGAATTGAAATTGTTTAACAGTGAACAGAAAGTGTTCCTAGAATTTCGTGAAAAAGACGACGCTCGCCAGCTATTGTCTGCTAATGTTGAAATTATCGGAGGAACTACAGCAGGATGTGCAAGATTTCGATGTATGCTGGATACTATGCAACCGGAAGTTAGTAAGTTTTACATTCATGCATATTTAAATTTTAATATCTACTTTAAATTTTTCTATTTAACATATTTTATTGGTATACATTAGTCCTACCGCTGTCAGTATTTTCTTGCTACCTTTCTATACCAGGCTATTAGAACTCGGCGACCCTCCTATATTCTACAGATCCTACAATTCAAATGCTCCTTTCAATCCCATCCCACTAGGTTTTGTTCGTCCGACCTCTATCCTCCTCCTCACTGAATTGCTGTGTTAGACAAATCCTTTTTAATTCAAGCTGTCTACCTTTGGAACTCTATCCTTGCTGATATTCGACACTCAAAGTCAGTATGCTCTTTCAAATCTCTCCTCTTCAAACACCTACTCTGGTGCATTCCCAATCTAGTTGATCATGAAATGCACTTAAAAATTTAAGTCATAAGAATCTCAAAGTACCCCCAGATACTTTGATTATTTATTTTACTTTCTCTGTTTATTTTATATTTATGTAAATTTTTATATCTTTTCATTATCTGTAATTTTATTTAATTACCAATCATCCTGTAAATATTTAATTGTATTTTATGGAGACATCAGGATGTTAATATATATTCTGTATTTATAATTTGTTCTAAAGGAACACTAGTCCATTCATAAAGGAACACTATTTTCATTCATTTTATGGCACTCATAAGGTCTGCAACCATTTATATTTCTAATTATTATATTTCAGGCTATGCTGTGCCTGTTATATTATATTATAGGCCTATGCCTAATCTATACTGCATATAATATGGTACTATTGATCCATTTTTAGGCTCAGGAGCCAGCGATGGATTTTATTAATGAGGTATCAGATAAAAGGGAATTTCACAGGTAACTGAGGAATTCCAATTTCTATCCTTAACTTGATTTAGTAAAATTCATTTGAAAAATTGTAAGGTTTGCAGATAGATGGTTTGCACATAGATGGTTTCAAAAGTTGCCGACTCGAGGTGGAATAAATTGTGTTTTAAAGATTTCGATGAGAACATCCAGGCCCAGTAAACTTCCAACAGAACTAGTCCGGGTTAAAAAATGTCCTGTTTTCAAGATAAATAGAAATTCTTGTCAGATGACTCTCATGTATAGTGCATCTAAGATAAGTTCGTGTTCAGTTAAAGGGAACTCGCACAGCTTTCCTCCACTCAAGTTTCACCTACCTAAGACCTCTCTAGAGCTCCACTTCCCCTCTTCACTACAGAGGAACCACATACCAGGAAAGCCTTATTCCATTTTCTTCAAATTTTGCACAAATGCACTCCTAAAAATAACTCATATTCTCCAAAACTCCATTGAAAACCAAAAACTTACTATCCTCATCCTCCTTAATAAACTGAAGAATCTTCCTGTATCTAACAGTGTCCTGCGTTGGTTCAAATCCTTCCTTTCTGACAGATCCTAGTATGTAGTCATCCCAGATCAACCACTTTATAAGACACTTCCTCTTTCCTGTGGTATCCTTCATGGTTTCTCCCTATCTTCTACTCTGTTTGATATTTACATTAATGATCTTCCTCTCCTGATCCATCACTCACAATACCAGATGATTTCTAAATATACCTTTCCTTCCCCCCTTCTGACCTATCAGCAGACACCAAAAAATTTCAAGATGACTTGAACAGCATTGTTGACTAGGAAGAAGCTAAAAAGTTGAAATTGAATGTGGAGAAGACCAAGGTAATTTTGATAGGCTCAAATCAACTCCTTAAAACTGTTCCTAAAATTCCGACTCTGCTCCTACATGATAATCCTATCAAATTTTATCCCACAGTTAAGAATCTATATAAGAATAGCCTTTGATCAAATCCTTTCCCAGAAATGCCATGTATCCAATATCTCCCACCGTGCCTGTTCCATTTTAAAACGTCTGAATTACCTCCGCCACCTATTTCCATTTGAAACCCGTAAACTCCTGATGACTTCCTTAATATTTTCCCACTTTGACTATTGCTATATAGTATGGTATGGTATGAGGATCTCGAGGCAAAATTAAAATATTTGATAAATTGCTTTGTACGATTCATCTTTGGGATTCCAAGAGATGCCTCTGTCTCCTGTTTTTATGAAGAGCTGAAGTGGCTTTATCCTTCCTACCGTTGTAAGTACTTCCTAGCTTTCTTACTCTTCCAAGTCATCCAATCCCATCGTCCAAGTCATACAAATCCCCTGTTTACTCAAATAAAACCCGTTCCCGTTCCTCAGATTTGTTTATAAGAGCCCACCGAACTGCTGCCTTAGACAGATCTTTCATTTTCCGATCCTCGTCCCTATGAAATTCTATCCCTCCGTGCATCCATTGCTCCAATATCCTCCCTACCTTTAAATCTCGTCTATTTAATCACCTATCTGTTCAGTCCCTATAGAATTGTAAATATGTATATAAATTCTAAGGTTATTTTAAATATTTTTATTTCATTTTTTTTTTTTAATTGAGAAGTTAGAAGACAACTTATACTTCTATATTTATTATGTCTATTTGTTTTAATTTTCTGTGATAATTCTCTGAGGCTTCGAAGCCCACATTTCTGTCGCTGTATATTATTCTAAAGGGACTTGTGCCAGAATAAATAAAGTATTATTATTAAATGTATATTAAAGGTAGGGATTTTAATTAAAAAATAAAATAAAACAGTGGTAAGAATAGTTAAATAATCAGATTAAGAAAATGAGTTAAATATAATTCAGTTGTTACATTAAATTTGTAATTACCTTAAGTCTAATGTTCTCCATTGTCAGGTTCTAAATTCATGTTATAACAAATTTAGACAACAGAACAAACATGGAATTGTAATTCTGAAGATAAGAGTCAATTTCCCAAAACGTAAACTTGGAAATACAACAAATAAATTGATTGTTGTTTAGTTGGAAGTTATTATTGCCAAAACAGATAATAACATACAACTTTCCAGCAAAAACATGAATTTATAATTATTTATTTTTTATTTTGACCGATCACCCTAACCATCCTTCCCTTCAATTATTCACTACAGTCGACCATCGATCCACTATTTAAAATATTTTAGTGTTTTGATAAAATTGATGAAAGATTTACAAAACAGAATCAGAATTATTATATTATACTAAAACCCACTAAACTAACAAACTGTATAGAATTAATATTGTTTATTAAAGTAATTACAAATCATTCTCAAGTTCATATTTTTTTATAATAATAAATTTTTTTTTCTTTATTCTAGTCATTGTTGAAGATGCAAATGAAGTTCTTGAACCTCACGTTATCGCATCTCTTTCGAGAGGCTGTAAACATCTTATTCTACTAGGTATGAAAAGCTATATTTTTTTACAAGGGTTAGTTGTGATCTGAATTTAATCTCATTTAAATTTAATTTCATAATATCTAAAAATACACATTTTCAATCTTTTACTGCGTTGAATTCCATATTCACAGTAGTTCTCTATTGCACTCACAGATTTATGTTTTAAATCTAATCTAATCTGGATTAGATGGGGACCAGATACCATCCAATTCCCACAAGTCCTTATTAAATAAATATTTTCTAAAATTTATTTATTTTCAATGCTACATAATCTTTATAATGGTTCTATGCTTTTCAAAGTTCGAACTGAGGTAGGGTTAATAAAACAAAACATCTTTGTGTTTGAAACTCAAAATTTGTTTATTGTATAGTATCACAAAACAAACTATATCAGTTAACTTTTTAATGTGATAAATAAGAATTTTTAAAAACATGTTAATGTGTAAATGAATTTTGGTGGTATTTGCTTCAAAAAATTTTTAGTGTACTAAATTTTAATTATTTTTATTTTATATATGGCTCATTTTCAAAAAAAGTGTTCATTCGTTGACTTACTGTTTCAAAAATTCATAGCTCTCAACTCCATAAATATCAGTTTAAAATATTATTTTTGTTGAATATTATTGTTTAAGATTATCATTTAAAGAAAACCTATGTTTCTGTCAAAAAATTTGTTTGATACTTTAAAAAATTTTGTTTCCCTTCAATTTAAAAAGTGAAAAGAATTTAACCCCAAGGGCCAAGTATTTACCTCTAGTTGATATTAGATTGTAAGTATTTTATTTGTGAATGTCATGGTGTTTTTCTAACCAATATTATGCTCTGTGATTCCTTGTAACAATTTTTAATGTTAATGGTTAGTTAATCTAATTTCATCTATATTTATAGTCCGTGGGACAGACACGTTTTTATCGAATTATTAACATCCGTCTGAAACTTCGTAAATAGTTTCATCTCGTTTTGTAACCTACAAATATTTTATTTATGGAAACTCTTGGAATTGGGCAATCTGAAGAGGGGCAAACTTTGTCTATTTAATTAGGTACTAAAAACATGTAAATACCCATTTGCTTTTGATTGTAAGATAATATGATCACAAAATTGATAAAAAATGTGGCCTACAAAAATATTGAGTCGTTTGTCCTATATAACCTCGTTATTTTGAAAATTTGGGAGTGTAGGTCACGCCCAAACGGCTGAATATTTTTGAAGGCTACCTTATTTCACGATTTTGTGATCAAATTATCTTATGATCTAAGTAGAAAGCAAATGGGTATTTACGAGTTATTAGTACTTAATTAAATAGACAAAGTTTCTCCCCTCCAAATTGAAAATGCCCCAATTCCAAGAGTTTTTGTAAATAAAATAGTTGTAGGTTACGATGAGATAAAACTATTTACGAAGTTTCAGGCGGATGTTAATAATTCGATAAAAAGGGGTCTGCACAATGGACTATTAGTTATGCCTGTATATAAATGTACGAGAAATCTATGTAATAATAATTAAAAAATTTCATAATCTCTAGAACTCATGAATATCACATAGGAAAAGTTGTAATTTTGTTTCCACACTAACCTAACACTGTTTTTGTTTTTTAAATTCATTACTATCAGTATCTTGCGTGATAAATATTCAGGGCGCAGTCTTTTTAAATTTTTTATTTATGCCAACGTTTCAACCCAAATATGTGGGTCATCTTCAGGGCGTGGTTTGAGCACTGAGGGTGTTCAAGTACTGACCAACGTTTGGGTTGAAACGTTGGCATAAATAAAAAATTTAAAAAGACTGCGTCCTGAATATTGATCACCCATGATATGTTGAACATTCGACTAACTTCCTTCGAGAATTCATCAAATCATTGGGATCTAACTACAACAAGATTAATACCAGTACAAACTTTTTAAATTTTTTGTTTTGGTTCTCAATCATTGATATAAAAAAAAATATCCTTCAATTAATTACTATTTTTATTAAATGCAGGTGACCATAAGCAACTTCAGCCGAATGTAGTAAGCAAAGATGGATCAGAAAAATACAGCTTGGATGTATCATTGTTAGAACGCATGGCCCGGTGCGGTATGAAGTCTTCCGTACTGACTGAGCAGAGGAGAATGAGGCCAGAAATCGCTTCCCTCTTATCACCTGTTGTTTATCCCAACATGTCGAACCACCCGGATGTGACCCACTTACCAAATATCAAAGGAATCAACAAAAATGTATTCTTTATCGATCATGATATGTGCGAGGAAAAAGTAAATATAATTTATTGCATATCAAATATTTGATCATAATAATTAATATAGAAAATGGACAGCATTGTTATCAAAATTATATACTTAATGAGTACTTATATCAAATCAAAGCCAATATTTCAGCCCACTTTATAGGCATCTTCTGCACTACAAAGACAAAACACATTTATGATGAGTAATCATAGGCATAATTGAATGAAAGTGTACTAAAAATACAGTTTTGGTTTATTATTTTCAATAATGAAACATTGTGATCGACCAAAAAATTCAAAAACATAACCCCCTCTCAAAATTTGAGGTTTCACGTTTCAAGACGCGTAGAATTCGAAAAACGAATAAAAAATTTTTTGTCCGTCCGCCGTCCGCGCATTTTCTCCGAAACTACTGGACTGATTTATTTCAAATTTTGATATAAAATCAGAGGTCACCCAAGGATGATCCTCCTTCATCAACGTTACTCTCCGTCTTTAACTTTCAAAATGGCGGCCGAAAAACCTGCGTTGCTATAGACTGTAGCTCCTAAACGAATGTACAGATTTCAATGAAACTTCGCTAAAGTCATTTTCTTGACACCCTTTAAATTTATCTGTATAACATAGTTCAACAAAAAGAAGCTGGAAAAAAAGTTACGAGGGATGGTAATATTGAATTCCAAATAACTCGAAAAGTTTTTACTTTTTTGTGGAATGGTTTTTTAAGAGCTTACGAAATTTCCTAAAAAATAAAAAAAAAATCGTTAAAATCGGACAATTAGGAGCAAAGATATGGTCTCCGTTTTTTTTTATGTGTTCTATTCCAAATGTTATATCCTTGGTTTGGTTTTTAAATTTTAAATGTGTTACTGAACTAATGCTATTTTTTTTAGAATATTACTAATGATTAAAGAAAAACAGTTTCGTCCAATAATTGGAATCACCTTTTGTTTTTTTTCTTTGTAACTCGGAAGGTAATGTTACTTTAGATGTATAATTGTTTGGAAATAATTAACCATTGAGAAATAATTTGCAGCGTTTTTTTTTCTGTTAGCTTTACATATCATGTAGCTCATTCGTCTCCATCTCTTTTCTGCATACAAACTCTTTATTGATTCTATCTATCCTTTAAGTATTTTTTCCTTTTTCGATTACTCTCTATCTCATCATTTCTGGCTATTGCTATTTCTAGGACATGGGGGTTATCCTAGTGGTGTAATTAAATCTATTCTAACGAGAGTGGTGAGTTCGAGATTCATTCCATGGGTCCATCACAAAATAAATTTTATCCCACCCAAGTCAGATTCGAACTGGCGTCATTAGACTTGAGAATGTTTACACTGTAACACACTCGGGCATAACAACCTCATCCGCCTGGTATTTGGCCTTCCGAAAATCCAAAGATTTTTTTGTTTTCTGATGATTTTATAGACCTTGTAAATATTTCCAAACTGAACTAGCCTTCTCTGAACGAGACCTCTGAATCTCTTCAGCATCTTTTTGCTTCTATCTATCCATCTGGTTTTTGGCCTACCACGTTTTCTCTCGACTACTATTGAGACGTTCATTGTTCTGTAGATACTTCTTAGTGGATAGCTTTGAACTACATACTCTGTCCATCTTAACCTCTTTGATGATCATCATGAGGTATTGAATGACCACTTTCTGTAAGCAGTTCTTTATTAGTCATTCTCCTTAATGTGTTCATACTCTGATCCCATATCACTTCAGTTATTTATTGGAGGATTTTTCTAAGATATTTCAATAATTATTGTTATAGTGCTGGTTGGTGTCCTGGTCTAAACAGTTAAATATCAGAACTGGCTTTATCATAGCGTTGTACATCGTTAATTTGAAATAAAAAGTAAGAGTAATATTTAAATATTGAAAATGAAATCACAAACATTAAGTACTATTTCAAAACTAAATAGTGTAGAAATGATTAAGTAAGATTAACACATAAAGATAAGAAATAATTAGGAGTAACTGTAACTATTTTGTGTCTTAATGTTGATTAAAGTAAAATGTATTGATAATAAATTTCAAAGGTTTAAAGCAAGCTTCGGCAATTCTGTTGAATCTCATTGGTCGAACTTTCACTTTTTCATAACTTTCGACATTCAAAACTATTATAATATTAAATTCTACAAATCATTATTATATTATTACTTATAAGTAAATGTCATACTTCCAAAAATCATCATACTATGTAATTTTTTAGCTTGTTGATTCCCAAGGCTATCGTAACAAGCATGAAGGAGATTTGCTGTTAGCACTTGCAGACTATCTTCTTAAGCAAGGTTATTCCCATAGCGATATAACCATCTTATCACCTTATGCTGCTCAGCAGAATTATATGAGACAGGTAATGTTTTTATTAGAAGGGGATTCCACAGAGAAGTGTTGATTGGTCGTGGTTGAGGGAGCGTGCAGGCTCTTGTTCTTCCCTAACCTTCTCACTACTTTACTCCCTTTTCAGATTTATCGTAATTCATTTCTTTTCTTGGAAAATTTGATAATTTCAAGGCTATAGATATATGATACTTATTAAAGTAGAGTCTCAAGGAGGAAATTTAATAAAATTTTACTGAAGAATGAAAAAACCGTTTGCAATATTCAGAATAAAACTGTTAGATGGATGGTGGACCAACATATATATTAATATAGAAATTAATATATTAGTTTTATTTCATATTCCAGGATGTTTCAAGGTTAAGTGGCCAAACTGAAAATATTAATTAAGGACCTCAAAACAAGAAAAAACAATGGTCATCGACCGGACTTGCATAGACTTTTTGTTTAATGTCGCCCCAAACAAAAAAATCCAGTGGTTTTAGGGCCTGGAGAGCGTGCAGGCCAAGCTACTGGTCCTGCATGGCCAATCCATTGATAGGGATAATTAACATTTAGCCATTGTCGTGGGCCTCTTCCGTAATGTGCAGGACATCCATCAAATTGAAGCTACATGTCTCTTCTCGGTTGTAATAGAATAGTGGGCGGGGTGGCCGAATGTGTGTGCACAGCACTACTGTTGCCCGGCAACCTGATATATGAGACAATTGATATAAAATAGTCAAGAGTTCGCGTTCCGGTACCGAGGAAATCTTTTAAATCCCCGTTTAATCTTTTAAGTCCACACCCCCTGGCCCGGAAAAACCCCGTGTAGCCTTAACGGCGAGGAAGGGGAGGACTAAGAAATTTGCCCTCATTGAGTCAAGATGGCATGAAATGCAGACCTATTAAAATATTGTCTATTATCCCCAACCATACATTGCACTGAAACTGGTGATTACAATGATGGTGACGAATTGCATGGGGATTTTCCTGCGACCAGAGATGATTATTTTTCTGATTGAAAGATACCTCTTCTTGTAAAAATTGCTTCATCTATCCAGAGAATTTTCCCTAAAAATTGTGGATTATGCTCAACTTGATTTAAATACCAATCTGAAAAATTTCTTCTTTGCTGAAAATCTTGCGATAATAAATTTTGTACCTGTTGATAATGATATGGGTGAAGTCCATCTGTAATGAGAGTTTTCCATATTGTAGTTAGGGTAATATTTAATTCTGCTCCAGCTTTTCATACACTACCAGATGGATTATCATCAAACTATTGTAATATGTACGCACTCCTTTCTTCATTTCGTAAAGGAGCAAAAATACCATCATCAAGTGGTATTATAGCGAATTTACCAGTTTCTCTAAGACGTTGAAACGTGGAGCTAAAGATAGACTTGTTCGGTAATCTTCTATTCGGAAATCGCCTGGCATATTCAAGACGGGCAGCATTAGCATTACCATTGCAAAAACTGTATACAAACACCATATCGGCATATTCACCATTAGTATAAATGGAAGCAATAATGATGAGTACTCTGCGAAAGCCTCTTACAAACTGATAAATGTTATTGAGAGTTCCCAATGCTAATTCCAAATAGTATTAATCCTTATGTTGCCAATAGTTTTTATACAGTTAGGAATAAAATGCCACATTAGTATTCTATCTAATTCATCTCTTAAACAAAGCGTTTGCGGACATACCTTCAGTTTGAACAACATTTAATATGAATGTTAATGTTCACATTTAATTAATAAAGTAGTTAGAACAAATAAATAGATTTTATTTACTTCATATAACGTAAATAATAATTCATAAGAACGAAAACCTTTAGGTTTGAAAATCTCCTAAAGAAAGTATTTGCGGACATACCTTCAGAGGAAATTTTTTTCTTGTTTTGAGGTCCTTAGTTCATTTTTGCAGTTTGGCCAGTTAATTCTGAAACACCCTCTATATTAAAATTTAAATTAAATTTTTACCTATTCGTAGTATAGTAAATTGTTTTTGTGCTTCATGTATTTTCTTTATGGATTTATTTTTTAGACTTTGAGATGGTGATCACGAGTATCTTTTATACAGACGTACCAAAAGGTAAACCCTTAATGTTAAGGACCTGGAGACAGCACGGAGAGATTATCTATACTAGTGAATCCCACTTCTCGATCGGTCAACACTTCTTACTTATACTCTAACCTATTTTATTTATTAGTAATTTATTTTGTTAATCAAGCTAACCTGTTCGTTAAACATTATCATTCTATTAGCTACGTCAATTATTATCATAAAGATATTTGTTTTTTATTGACTTGGTTTATTTATTTTTTTAGGCAGCCAGAAGCAATCCTTCCATTCAAAATATAGAAATTTATATGATTGACTCTTATTCAGGACAGGAAAACAAGATCATTCTTTTGTCACTCGTGCGAAGTCAGTCTTCTGCGATTGGCTTTTTGTCGTCTAACAATCGCGTTACTGTTGCTCTCTCGAGGGCTAAATGTGGTCTTTACATTGTCGGCAATATGAAGACCCTAATGAATGGTTCACAGTTATGGTCATCAGTCAATGAAGTTCTTCAAAAACAAAATGCCATTGGTAATATAAATTTGAAGTGTATACTTTTTATTAAATAATAATTGTTCCTTTAGTTAAGATCTTTACAATGATGTATTATCGTATATAATGTCATTAAGTGTAATTTAAAATTGAGCTAATGATCTTATAAAAATGATCTTGTGAAACATATGAGGGTGGTCTGAAAATTTTCCGACCACAACTTCAAGATGGTAGCACTTGGTAAGGTAATAAAAGAGAGTGAATTTGGTTGTTGACAGTTACCCACCAAAGTTTCAGCCATTTTGGACATGCAGTTTTTATGTAACAGTCGTTTGAGTGAGTTGATATGATTGTTTTTTTGAAAATAGACAAAATCAAGTATCGAGCTTACACCTACGCAAATCAAAGATGAGTTGGATTCTGTGAAGCTGAATTTTAAATGTGGCCGTAAGTGAGAGAGACAGCAAAGGTTATGAACATGTCAAAAGAACGTGTATGTTACATATTAAATCAACATGAGAAAGCTGTCCGCACATTGGTTGCCGTGTTTGCTCATAGTGTTCAAATGAACATTTCCAACGCTCTGTTTAGATGCAATAAATCCGAGTTTTGGCACCGATTAATTACTGTGGATGAAACTTGGACACACCATTATATGCCCGAAACAAAAATACAGTCCAAACAGTGAACTGCAAAGGGGGAACCGGCTCCAAAAATAGCAAAAACTGTTTTCTCGGCTGGGAAAGTGATGGGGACTGTTTTTTGGGATAGTCATGGATTTATTTTAATCAACTATCTTCAAAAAGGAAAAGCTATTAAAGGAGCATACATCATTCATTACTTGACAAGCTGAAGGCAGAACTTGTGGGAAAACGGCCACATTTGCAGAAAAAGAAAATCCTGTTTCACCAAGACAACCTCCCATACCTCAGCGATTGCCATGGCGAAAATCCACGAATTACGGTTTAGCCCCAAGCAACTTTTTTTTGTTCTCTTATCTAAAAATTGCGCTCGGAGGACAGAGATTTTCATCAAATGAAGAGGTAATCACCTTCCTCAACAATTATTTTACAGAGAAAAACGCAGAACACTTTTTGGATGGGTTACAGAGATGGGAGCACCGCTGGGAGAAGTGTGTAGTGTTACAAGAACAGTATGTTAAAATTAAAAAAAAAAAATGTCTTGTATTTTTGTTAGGTCAGAAACTTTTCAGAACACTTTCGTATACTGTTTGAAAAGTTTGTTAATAACCTTTTGTTTGCACAAGTGTCTTCGTTATTTACACTGTTAAGTTAAAGTTTAAAACAAAATCCCTGGCTCTGGATTAAACTTTTTGAGTTGAGTGAGGGTGTCTGCTGATGTTGTTGGGACTTCGCAATCAACTCTTAAGTGACATTGCCTGATAAGAATAATGAGTGACCTTGAAATTTTCGAACAGTTGAATATATCGACACAGGTCCTTTCGGCTTGAAAGAAAAGTGAGGATGGTAATGCTGAGTTTCAAGGACCATCCTTGGGTGCCCTTTGGCATTAATACCAAATCTCAAAACATTCAGTCCAGTAGTCTCAGAGAAAAATCGTAGACAGACAGTATTTTTTTTAAAATTTGATTCTAAGTATCTTGAAACATAAAATGAGGGTTAACTTTTTTTTTACTTAGGGCTCCATCTGGACAAACGTCTAACTTGGAATCCTCATACCAGACCGAAATGACAAGAAACAGCTCGGCGTTTCCGACTACTTCAACACTTACTAGACAAACACTCTAATCTTCCAATTAATTATAAAAGACTCATTTACATGACTATAATAAGGCCTGTTTGGACTTGCGGAGTTGAGCTATGGGGCTCCACCAAACCTTCAAATTCCTCTCACATCCAATCCTTACAATCCAAAATCCTTCGTAAAATCCTCAATGCTCCTTACTTTGTTATAAATAAAATTATCCATAATGACCTTAATGTTCCTTATGTATCAGATTTGGCCCAATCCAGATATCTGTCCTTCCATAATAAACTTCATAACCATCCCAATCCTCTTGTTTCTAACCTTGCTTCCTATTCAATTCCTGATAACCCCCGAGGCGTCTGAAAAGAAGATGGCCACGTGATCTTCTAATATAGACATATTATTAGAGTGCTACCAATGGGTAGTTTCTCAACATGTGTTTCATGTCATCATATCCATGTGCGAATTTACCAGATTTATTTTTTGTATACAGTTGTAAATATCATATAAATAAATAAAATAAAAAAACAATTATATTTGATTTTGAACTTTTGGTAAGTTGTAATATTAATCATTTATAGGAAGAAGTATTGAGTTGAAATGTCAGAATCATCAAACAATCACAGCAATCTCTAGAGCGGAAGATTTAAAAAATAATTATGGCGGCTGTAATTTACCATGCAAAGCCAAGCTTGAATGCGGACATTTTTGTAGGCTAACGTGTCATTCATTAGCGAACGGACATAGGAACTACAAATGCAGAAGTCCATGTACAAGGTATTTTATTTTTCCTACATGTGTTTTAACTGATCCCTTTATTTTGGTCAGTATCTTTAATTTTCCAACGGATTTCTAGAGCCTTTAAGAGTTTTTTTTTTCTTCCATAATTTACATTTGAAATAAGATCAGTTTGTTTTATCTAAGTTAAATATTGATATTTTACCACATAATTATTTATATTTATAATTCTACATTGTCATAGCTGCTACTGATTTTTTTCAACCTGAAACATCTTTATTATATTTTATAATATACTTTATTTTCCAACTGCCCATTGTTCCACAGGTTTTGCCGACGTCAACTTCATAAATGTAAGAAAAAGTGTCATGAGCAATGCGGTCCTTGCCAAGAATTGTCGGAAAGGGAACTGCCTTGTGGACATCGTTTACAGGTTCCTTGCGGCCAGAATGATTTAGATTATGATTGTGTTTATCCTACACAGGTGATATTTTTATGTTTTGGTGAAACAACTGTACCTTGTTCTGAAGCAGACTCTTGCTTTTATTCTCGAATTGAAGTTTAAAATATGTTAAAAATACAATGTATATTAATTATAATGATCACATTAATCTTTAAAAAGAAGTTGTACATATATGACTCTTCATCCTTATAAGCAACATTGTTCATGAAGCAAAATTGTAAATAATTATAATTAGATATATTTTGTTATATTTCCTTATGATAAAGAAGTAAGAATCCAGAGTGGGCTTTCCAACGTTTTGTGAAAATTGAGTTCGATGAGTCAAAGTATTCCATCTCACGCCATCTATTGGCTTTTTAAAGAATTTTATTAGTTTATAAACCGTTCAAGAGATAGAGCCAGTTTAACAGATAGGCTTGGTCCAAGGTTTATAAAACTACAAGGTTCGCTCGGAGGAAAAATGGTGGGGAGGAATCAAGCTCTGGCATAACCACTTGACCGATATTACCTCTCCGCCCCTAGTTTCTGGACATTTTAAGACTATTATTTACCTTTCTGCATGAAATCAATACTTTAACGTATAATAGCTTATAATAATAATAAATTTAAAATATGAGAGAAAGGTTCATTTGCTATTTTGTTTATTCTCTAGGTAATTATAATTGTTGTATTTTTTTATTTTTTTTTTCATAAATGCAAAATACTACAATATTTTGCTAGAAAACAAGTGACTAATCTACACCACCATACTAAGACCTATTTGGACATACGGAGCAGAACTTTGGGGTTCCTCAAAACACACACATAAACAAAATTCAAACCACACTATCCAAAATACTTTGTAAAATCGTCAATACTCCTTGGTTTGTTTCAAATTCCATACACACATACATGAATATACCAAAAGTAAAATCCCATGTACACAACATTTCATTCTTCTGCTCTCAATCATCCAAACCCACTCGTTCTGTCTCCTTCTTCCTCCCTGTTACCTGGTGAGCCTCGACAATGACTAAAAAGACAGTGGGCCTAGAGATCTTCTGCTGATAAGTTAAACAAAGATCAAGAATAAAAAAAGACAAAATATACTGCAACACATTTGCTTGATGTGTTACAAAGCAGTGGCAAATTTATCGTTTAATAAAAGTAAATAAATTTAATATTTTAAATAAATATAAAACAAATGGAAATTATAGAACTATTTGAAGAAAAAAAAAATCCAAAACTAAAGAAGCGTTTTTTTTTTTTTTTTTCTATAAATGTTCATAAATAACAATTAGCACTCAATACCCTTCCTATATCTTCAGTCTCCTACAGTTCAAACCTGTGGTCCACTCCCAGAAAACAATATTCTGTGTTTCCAACCTTTATATCCCTTCCCATAGAACTAAGACATTTGAATATTCCTTTATTGCCTGATCCACTGCCTTCTAGAATTCCTTGCCAGGTGATATCTGCCATGCCTCTTCCTTGTTCTCATTCAAATATCATCTCTACCAATTCCTTCTCACATTCCAAAATGATGTACAATGAAATAAATATTATGAATCAAATTTTGACTGAGGTGAATGGTTGTTGAAATTGTTTAGGTTTTAATTTTAAGAATCAACCCATAGTGCTTATAAGATTTGTTTTTTATTTTACCTGATTTCTGTTTTTCTTTTCATTTAAATAATGTTTGTTTTTTTCAAAATGGTGTTACTTTTTTATTTGTTTTAATATACTTTCACTGAAGATATTTTATATATTCTTTAATTTTGATTAATGTAATTTGTGGCCAGATGTGGTTTTAATTTTTTGTTCTTAATTGTTATTCTTAAGGGACCTCATCCCAGAATAAAGTTTATTTTCTATTCTAAATATGACATTTTTATGTCCTATATACATAATCCTAGGCAGGGATTTTTTTTTCAAGTTTTTTGTCTTTGCCATTAGGTTTTCCTGATTTGTGCAATATTCTTTAGGTATTAGGTATTTAAAATTTGTATTCTTATAAATACCCATTGTTGAAAGAAAGCCTTTTCTAACTCTTCTTCACTTAGATGGATTAGAATGCAATTCAACATAATTGAGCAGTATTACGATTTTATTATAGTTCTATCTTCTACATTTTCTTTCCGAAGAAACAATTAGACAATTTAGATACAATATTGGCGTTTTTTTTATTATATTATTTTTGTAAGATGCAATTGCAGGCCTTGTAGTTGACTTTCTATAATATTCCATTAATAGTTATGTTATGGAAAATGCAAGAAATATTTATAACAACAAACAAACTTCACTAACCTGTTATTAAAAAACAAAACAAGAAATACTCTCTATAATATTATTGTAGAGATGGGTAAGTAGTTGACTGTTAGAATTGTAAACATGAAAAAAATTATAAATAATAATTTTAATTTTTTAAAAAAATTTATTTAAAGAAATTTTGACAGTAAATCCTGATAATTTTTTAAATTATTATAATAGTATTACAATAATGTTTTATTATTAAAATTATTTATTATTAATATATCTACAAACAAAAATTGTGCTACAATGTTGTTTTGTTTCTCTGAATAAATACAAATCTTTGTTTTTTTTTCTTTTATTAAAAATTGATTATGTTATATATTTTTATGTTATTTGCAGTAAGTGACTATGAAATAAAGAATTTAAAAATAATCTTATTATCAATTTTGTTTCAGGTCTAGATTATAATTTTCTTAGCATTTTATTCTAGATTGGTAATCGTATTTATTTATTTATCAACTTGAAATTATCTTCAATCAAACGCTAAAAACTCAGTTAATTATTCTTTTCAATAAAATGAACAAGAAAAAAAAAAAGCACAATTGTGTTGAAATAAACCTTCAGTGATAGACTTGAAGAAAAATAGTTTCATAAACACTTTAAATAAAAATCATCATTTTTAAATTTTTTATTTATAAATAATATATGAAGAGAAGAATAGTTGGGGTGATCAGCCAAATAAGAAGGCAAAAATAAATAATAATATTTATTTTGACATTTGCCGACGTTTCGACCTAAAGTTCAGGGCTAAGAAAAGAACCAGATAACAAGGTATGAGAAACATGAGTAATGTAGGTGGTAGAATAATGACAATAATAAGAACTAAGAGATAAATAATAATAACCGTTACAAAGTGTGGAATGATGAAGTAAGCATAATAAAAAAAGGTGACATAAGTATTAAAATGCTTATCTTAGAATAAAATGTAAAACAGAAAAAAGGAATATGAAGTTTTATAAGAAATGAAAATAAATAGTAAAATTAAGATATTGCTAATAGAATAGTTAGATAGAAAATTGAGATATTGTAAAGTCTATCAAGATGTACAGACAACGTATAATATAATAAAGATTTAAAACAGAGAAAAGGAAGGAGGAAAGAAACTGAGAAGGCTGAAATAAGAAAGAGAAAAAAGAAAACAATTTACCCACAATTAATAAATAATATATGTATATAGCCATTTTTAAAAAAAAATAAAATATATCTCTGATCATGGAAAAATATTAACAGTAATAAAAGCTTTGCAACAGTTAATTATAGTAATTTTGGGTGAAAACGCGGGTACTTATAGGTGACATAAAAAACCACAATTTTTTTTATAAAACTTGTGAATCTCAATTTTTTGCTATATAAATCTCAATTTAATTAATATGGACTTAAAAGTTATTAAATAATGAAATTTTTTCTAGAAGTGGAGTATCTGTAGTATATTTGGATGGTGATAAAAAAATTGTGAATAATTTATGATTTTTTTAAAAAACATAACGTCGCTTAGTTTATCCAGACAAAAATCCTTTTTAAATGGTTTTAACAATGTCAAACTCTTCATTTGATGTGAATTTTTTCTAGTTTACAGTGAAGCTGTTTTTAATTACATAAATCGAATGTTTCTTTAATCATTGCTTCCTATTCAACAAAAGCATGATAATTAAAAGAAGACATATGTTAAGGTATCTCTTATCACCTTGTTTGCTGCAAGGAGGCCGTCTTGATAATCTGCAAGTTGTGATTCAGAAGCAGGCAACTACCTGTCTTTGGATTTCCACTAGGTATAGTACTATTTCTTTGAGGAAGGTGAACCAATCTAGAAAATGAAGTTGAAATTTATTGGCGGACCCATGGAAGGAATCTCAACCTTTTCACTCTGGTTAGAATAGATTTGGTTGAACCTTGGAATAGGCCAAACTTCCCCTTCCACCTCCTCTACCTGTATACTACAAATGTCAAAGTAAGAGGTAATTAAAGATCAAAAACAAAAAAAAAGCATCTTATTAAATATGACTTAGAGGTAAGAATACTTCCGATGGCGGCGTCAATAATTAGGAAGTCTCCTTTCACTGACACATTTCTTCTATATATCTCAACATTGAAATGAAATAAAATGAAAAAATAATTTTATTCTGGGACTACTGTCCCCTAAGAATAATAACAGAGTTACAAATTTATGTATCTTAGTCTGACATAATAAAAATACCAACTAATTTATTGTTAATTCTTATTTCAATTGTGCAATGGATTAAAATTAAACATTGTATAGATGCAAGTAATTTTACATGTTAGGGGAAGTTTGAATGTGGAGTAGGTGTTGGAACAGGAGTTGTTTGAATGAATTTGTGGATAAGGATTGACGCATGGGGGTAGGAAGTGAGTTCCATAAGGAAGCAACACGAATGACGAAGGATTTGCTGAAGGAGGAAGTTTTATGGGAGGGAATATATAAGTCTATAGGTTGAGACCTAGTATTGAGAGAGTGGATAGAGGAGCGCAGAGTAAGGAGTTCCAGGATGTAGGGAGGGTTTTTAGTTCTGAAGACTTGGAAAAGGAAAACGCCAAGAAGGAATTGTCGTCGGGAAGTAGGATAAAGCCACTTCAACTCGGTGTACCATAGTGAAACATGTGAACATCTGGGAATCCCGAAAATGAATCTTATGAAACAATTCATGAGTCTTTTTAGTCTCAATTCCAGCCTGGCAGATAGCCCTCCATACACCAAGCAGCCGTAGTCGAAGTGGGGGAATACAAGGAGCTGTCTGGTTTTTAGAGGAATACAATCACGGAATCTTAGGAGTTGTTTAAGGGCAGTTATGGATTTTCGGATAATCTGGGAGATATGATTATCCCAGGAGAGGTTCTAGTCAAAGGTTACTCCTAGGTTTTTGACTGTAGGGAAAAAATGGATGGGATGGTTATTGAGGTAAAGTAGAGGAGAGTAAAGAAGGGAGCTGATGAGATTTTTGGAGACGATGATAATAGCCTTGGTTTTATCTGCATTCAGCTTTAATTCATTTATTTCTGCCCATCTGTTGATGCAGTCGATATCCTCTTGTAGCCTCCGGGCAGCCTCAGGCATCTCAGAAGGTTGGAATGATTGGTATATTTGGAAATCATCGGCATATAGATTGTTACCTAAACATTAAGAGTACCTTTAAGTTCTGCTAAGAAAACACAAATTTTCACTATAATTTATTTTGCGAATATCCAAGTTATAATTTCAGAAAATATAAACCAAATTTGGCAATTAATATATATGTTACAATAAGAAAAACATTTTCATTCACAATAAAATGAACAATTAGAAAAATATTAAACAAACAATAGATAGAAAATGGACAAATAAATAAGGGAAATGATTAAGACCAACCCTTTATATAGTCAGTGTAACAATGAAAGGATCATAAGGAGGTTCCTGAATAAGACAATTGTAAAAAAATATGACTTCACAAGAAGTTACGGAATTTACCTACATCACAATTTTTTAGGGACAAATTAAAAAAGGTAATAACATCAAATTTAAAATTGTAAATTATATTTGAATGTTAAGATAAATTATTATAACAGTAAAAATAAAAAAAGGAAAAATTTTAAATTGTTTATTTATTTTCTGTTAGTATTACATTAACTTGTTTATTATTTTTGTTTATATATATATATAATATTATTGTTTATATGCAGCATTAAGATGTTATTCACAGGAGTGTAACATCCAGCTGCTGCAAACACCTGTATAGTTCCTAGTGGGGTAAGATGGAAATTAATTTTAAGAAGACACATGTATTTTATAGTAGTAATTTTATCATAGAAAATCCCTGAACATGGAGCAGAGTGCCAAAACGTTGAATATATAACTGGATTATGTATAAAAAATAAAATATTTACACGAGTTAAATTAGAATTATCCTTCCTGTATAGAGTAATTTATCAAAATACAACTTTTCATTTAACTAATATTTTTTATAACTTCATAACTATTTATGAAACAGTAATTCCTTACAGTACTGAACCCAAGACCTTTGCTGTAGTGATACAGTTTTTTTACTTTCACTTGCATATATATAAGATACATTAAAGGAAAGTATTGTGATCATGAAAATGTTCGAATCTGAGTTTTCAATGGAAATACATGTTTTGAGATCTCCTGAGTCTTAATAACCAAGTTCCACATTATAGTCTGTGTGTATGTTTGTGAGGAGTCTAGCTCAAAAACGAAAAGTGGTATGAAAGTGAAATTGCGCATTTGATGATCCTATATACCACTAGCAGACCCAGGATTTAATTTTGGGAGGGGCTTCATCCCGAAAGCTTTTTTTTTTTTCATTTATATAACGATAATTATTTTGAAAAAAAAAGAAAGGTACTAACTGCCTACATGAAATGATGTTTAAGTTCTTGAAGTCCTGTAAAATGTAACCACCATTTTGGAGGGAGGGGGGAAGGTTCAGGCCCAAAGCTCTCCTCTCCATAGAATCAACGTTATACACATTTTTCTCTAACACGACTAAAACGATTTTGATTAAACTCTGTGAATCATTATATAATTAAAGTAGTCTTTAATATCATTTAGGTCTTATCCCCATTAATGTCACTTTATAGGGCTTAAATGTTCAACATGTCTTCCTCTAAAGCACCTTTAATTTGGTTTATTTTAAATAATTAACCATCTCTCATTATTAGCTGTTACGAAAAAATTATAAATATAACTTTTGAAAGAATTTTATAATTGGAAAATAGAAAAAAAAAAAAAAAGGAAAAGTTTATTTAGGTCGAAAATGCATTTCTGGAAATATCAGTCAGAAGGTATACCTATGATATATCGTTGGAGTATTTTAGAAAAAAACAATATCTGAAATTTAATGGAGAGTGAAAAATCATAAAAAATGATTTGTGAAAACTAATATTATTTAACAGAAATCACATGTTTTCAAGGAAATTAACTATCTAAATGTAAACTTTTTTATATTTGAAAAAAAAAGAAATTTAAATCTACCTAATGAAGACAATGGCATTGTTTAAAAAACTACTTCATAGTACTTATGTAAAAGAAGAAATGAAATATAAAAATATTTCATGGATGTATAGAGCATATGTTTATAATCTTAAGTACATCTACTTTAGTTTAATAACTCTAGATCTGATATTTTATTTAAATAATTTGGTATCAACGTCTGTTCATTCCGAAAAATCGTCATCTAACCTTTTAAAAAATTAAATTATTGAATAATTTGATGAATTTTCCCTTTATGAAATCCAAACATTATCCGCTTAGTAAAAACTTTTGACTGGCCTATGGGAGGCAATGAAAATCTCGTAATTTCTTTCTAGTAAACTATACAATGGAAAATTACAGTTTAATAACTAATATATGTACAATCCATAATCATTTATAGGCTGAATATAGATATATACTTTCAATATAGATATTTACTTACCTAGATTTTTATTGTCTACCGTTGATATAATTAATAGGGTTTTTGTTATTTAAATTGTGTTACTGATTTGTTAGCTGTAAACTTTAAGCTATAGCTCCGTTAAAAGTGCACTTCAAAATTTTTATAATTGTTTAACATTGGCAGAAAATAATTTCTATTCATAGTAGAAAGGTAAGTGAAAGTCGTGTGTTGCGCGCATCAGATTTTTTTTGTTTTAAATTTAAGCAAATATAAAGAAAAAAAATTTGTATATAAAGGCATTATTTTTCCTAAAATTGTCGTTTGTATCTACTATTATATTTAGGTTGTATCCTACATATCAGTGTCAGACATATACTATATATCTCTAGAATATATAAAGTACAAAATACATTATTTAAAATTAATAATCGATTATTTATACCAGTGCGCTATCTGGTAGATGTGTGAATCACTTGAAAAGATGGTTGTTTTGACATTCACGAAGGCTTTTCTTCCTTGCATTTAATTGTTGCATTTAAAAAATAAAATCAATAATCCATTAAATAAGGAAAATCGATGTCATAATTTAAAACAGAAATTGCTATCTTATCTTTCCACTTAGCTATCTACAACAGTTCAGTTTCTGTGGAGATGTTCAACAGAAAAGTAAGAAATTTAAATAAATATTATTGTTTTGTGTTGATTTATCATTATTTTATCAGAATCAAGTGGGGTCTATGCATTAAGTTTATGGTTCCACATTAATATAAATATTTGTCATAAAACATGATTGTATTCGTTTGATCAATTTCAAAAATTCTATAATAACGTAAATTAACTTATCAATGTTCCTATCATTGATAAGTTTTCTGTTTATTATATATATATATATATATATATATATATATATATATATATATATATATATATATATATATATATATTTGTTTTTATTTATGATATTTACAATTGTATTAATATAAATACATCAAGCAAATGTGTACACAGAAACATGATCACGTGAAAACGCTTGTTGAGAAACTACCCACTGATAGCACTCTAATAATATGTCTACAAAAGGAGATCACGCGGCCATCTTCTTTTCAGACGCCTCAGAGGATTATCAGGAATTGAAGAGGAAGCAAGGTTAGAAACCAAAGGATTCGGATGGTTATGAAGTTTATTATGGAAGGATAGGTATCTGGACTGGGCCAAATCTGAAACATGGAACATTAAGGTCTTTATGGATTATTTTATTTGTGACAAAGTAAGGAGCGTTGAGGATTTTGGATTGTAGGAATTGGTTGCGAGAGGAATTCGATGGTTTAGTGGAGCCCCATAGCTCAACTCCATAAGTCCAAATAGGTCTTATCATAGTCATATATATGAGTCTTTTGTAATAAATTGGAAGCTTAGACCATTTGTCTAGTAAGTGTTCGAGTAAGCGGAAACGTCGAGCTGTTTCTTCTCGTTTCAGTCTGGTATGAGGATTCCAAGTGAGACCTTTGTCCAGTTGGAGTCCTAGGTATCGTATTTGTTCAACAGGGATAAGTGGGGTGTTATTAAAGGATACTGTAGGACAGGAAGTCATAGGTTTACGACGAAGATTAAAGGTGATTTAAAAAAAAATATCAAATTAAATTGAAAAGTTGTTAATGTTGTTTTTAATGACTTTTTTTTTTTTTGTTCTTCCCTACCTCGCCTTTTAGGCTATACGGGATTTTCCCGGGCCGAGGGGTGAGGGCGCGGAATTTAAAATCCCCTCCGGCACCGGGACGCGAACTCGTACTTTTTATATCATCTCAAATCTCTGTTATCCGGTTGCCAGGCAACTAGCGGTGCTGTGCACACGCTTTAGCCTATTCGGACACCCCGCCCCCCTGTTTTTAATGACTCTTTCCAATCCACGGCGTATCGAACGTTCTACCTACGCGACCTCGAATTCAAAAATAAAAAATTACCCGATCAAAATGTGACTCCCTCGAAAATTCAGAAACTCATAAACATAAATAACTCAAAAATTTTACAGGCACAACTGGCGCTTTGCAGTCTAATCTTGGTCACTCCTGAGACTTATTTGGACTCAAGGGACACCAAAACGTGCATTTCCGTGAAGAATTCGGATTCGAAATTTTCCACAATCGCACTATTTTCCCTTAAGCCAACCAAAAGTATTCCTTGATGTATACTTGATATATTGATAAATATAGTGCGGTCATCACACAACTATCGCTTTCACATCCCGTCCTTGATAAAAATACGTGTTTTCATAAGTAGAGAAGTAAAAACTATAGGACCTGGTTACTTTGATTCAAAATCTCGGGTTCGAAAATTTTTACGATCGCAATACTTTCCCTTACTATATATCACGTATGTAGTTAAGTGAAAGTAAAAATAAATAAATAAAGTAAACTATACCACTCTCCTACCCTACAAAATCTTGGATTCAGTACTCGGTAAAAAATTACTTACTAGGCCAACGGTTGTGCAGGAAGATGATTGGACCGTGATCACGCTCAACCGCCATGTTTCCCTCTTATTTAATTAAGAGTACCGTGGGAGGAGTAACCGAACGGGCTAACGCATGTGTACAGCACCGCCGTTGCCCGGCAACCTGACATACAAGATAAAATGATAAAAATAGTCACGAATTCGCGAACCGGGAAAATCCCGTATAGTCTTAAAGGGGAGGACCTAAAAAAAAACAATTTCTTTTTATATAGACCTTAAGGCTTGAGCATAGGAACAGAACTCAGTGCCAAGCAAAGGAAATAGATGTATTTATTAGATAATGAATCATTTTAATCTCCTTATGACTGATTTTTTTTCTCTTTGCAATATTTTTTTCTTTTCTTCTTCAACACAAAATCATTTATACAAAATTATATTTTTTTATTTATTTAAAAGGTGTGGTACTGGTTTTAAATTTTAAAATCTTTTAGGAGAATGTTTTACCAATATTATCTCTCAATTTTTGTATTTTCAAATCATTGGGTTGTAGAGTTAAATTATGTCTAAGGGCGGAATGAAATAAACAACTAATGCCTGATTTTAATCGAGGAGTGTCCAGAAGTGAGTTTTATGGCTCAAGTTGCGCCATCGAAATTTTTGAAGGGTTTTTGAATTTTTGAGGGAGGCAAATTTCGATGGAGTTATGAATTTTCGGACTAAAAGGTCCCTTACACGGTCAATATTATTGAGTCAATATCGAGTTTCGTCAATATTTTGACCATTTATTCAAACTTCATTGGAATAAATTATATTGAGGTTGATATCATTTTTTTTTTTTATTGAAGCCCAATTCAATATTATTGAAACAGTGTCAATATAATTGTATTTGTAAGGACTATATTGAGCAATACTAAACAACATATACGAATCTTGAGAAGTTCTGGACGAAATCGAATTTTCGGTGCCCCTCCTGGCAATATGTTTTAGTAGGGGGAGGGGGAGATGCTTTTTTATTACACTTTTTTTGGGAGGTGGGAGGGGGGGGAAGAGCAGAGAAAATGCACCCACTCCAATTCTTTTTAAAAACATAAAACGAATATATATTTCGGTAGGTAGGTGATAATTTTTATATAAAATATCGGGGGAGATTAATCCCCCCCTCCCACTAGCGGATCCAGGATTTAATTTTGGGGGGGGGAGGCTTCAGCCCGAAACCTTTTTTTTCATAAAAATAACGATAATTTCTTTGGAAAAACAGAAAGAAACTAACTACCTATATGAAATGGTGTTTATGTTATTCCTTAAGTACTTTTAAATGTAATTACACGAACAATAATGCTTTAAGAGGTATTTTTTAATTTTTTTTCCCATAAAACATGGTTATATTTTTCTATTTTGGGGGGGAGCTTCAGCCCGAAAGCCCCCCCTCTCCTCCCCGTAGATCCGCCCGTGCCCCCTCCAAAAAAAGTATCACTCACGTATCGAAACATATGTATATCCGTTTTATATTTTAAAAACAAAATCGGAGGGGGATTAAATCCCCTCTCCCCCCCCCAAAAAAAGTATATCCCCCCCAATTCAAACATATTGCCAGGAGGGATACCGGAATTTGGTATCTCCCAGAGCTTCTCAAGATCCGTATATGTGGTTTAGTATTGCTCAATATAGTCCTTACACGAACAATTTATATTGACACTGTTTCAATAATATTGAAGGTACTTCAATAAAAAAAAAAAATTGATACCAACCAGTTTGATTGACCTCAATATAATTGATGCAAATTTAGCCCTTACGTCTATATATTGACGAAATTCAATATTGACTCAATAATATTGACTGTGTAAGGGGCCCTTATGGGACAAGGGACAATCATAGAACAGACCGCAGCGCAAGTGTAAAATGTAACCATGTTTTATGAAAAAAAATTATCTCTTAAAGTATTATTGTTCATGTAATTACGTTTAAAAGGACTTTAGGAATCACTTAAACACCATTTCATGTAGTTAGTTAGTTTATTTCTTTTTTTCCCAAAGTAATTAATGTTATTTTTATGAAAAAAAAGCTTTAGGGCTGAAGCTCCCTGCCTCCAAATGGTACAATATAACCATGTTGTATGAAAAAAAATTATCTTTTAAAGTATTATTGTTCAGGTAATTACATTTAAAAGAACTTTAGGAATCATTTAAACACCATTTCATGTAGTTAGTTAGTTTCTTTCTTTTTTTCCAATGTATTTATCGTTATTTTTATGAAAAAAAAAGCTTTAGGGCTGAAGCTCCTTCCCTCCCCCAAAATGGTAAAATATAACCATGTTTTATATTAAAAAAATTATCTCTTAAAGTGTTATTGTCCGTGTAATTGCGTGTAAAAGGACTTTAGGAACCATTTAAACACCATTTCATGTAGTTATTTAGTTTCTTTCTTTTTTTCCAAAAGTAATTATCATTATTTTTATGAAAAAAAAAAGCTTTAGGGTTGAAGCTCCCTGCCTCCAAATGGTAAAATATAACCATGTTGTATGAAAAAAAAAATATCTTTTAAAGTATTATTGTTCGTGTAATTACATTTAAAAGAACTTTAGAAATCATTTAAACGCCATTTCATGTAGTTAGTTAATTTCTTTCTTTTTTTCCAAAGTGATTATCGTTATTTTTATGAAAAAAAAAAGCTTTCGGGCTGAAGCCCCACTCCAAAATTAAATCCTGGATCCGCTAGTGGCAAGTCTAATTGTATATGATCTATGATTTTGGTTTATTATTTTCAATAATGAAACATTGTGATCGACCAAAAAATTCAAAAACATAATCCCCTTTCAAAATTTGAGGTTTCACGTTTCAAGATGCGTAGAATTCGAAAAACGAATAAAAAATTTTTTGTCCATCCGAAAATTAAATTCCGAATAACTCGAAAAGTTTTAACTTTTTTGTAGTTATTGTACATGGGTTTTTAAAAGTTTATGAAATTTCCTAAAAAACAAAAAAAAAATAGTTAAAATCGGACAATTAGTAGCAAAGATATGGTCTCTGGTTTGTTTTTATGTGTTCTACTCCAAATTTTATATCCTTGGTTTGGTTTTTAAATTTTAAATGTGTTACTGAAATAATGCTATTTTTTTTTTTTTTTTTTAGCATATTACTAATGATTTAAGAAAAACAGTTTAGTCCAATAATTGGAATCACTTTTTGTTTTGTTTTCTGTGTAACTCGGAAGGTAATGTTACTTTAGATGTATAATTGTTTGGAGATAATAAACCATTGTGAAATCATTTGCAGCGTTTTTCAATTCTATCTCAACTTGCTCTGTTATTAAGAAAGGGTGAACAATAAAATGTCTTGGGAGGGAGGTAGGAGGGGTAGATTCTTGCGCCATCGATCTTGGGGAAGGGGATGGGCACCCCGGATTTAATCTTCTTTAATAGATTAAGATATATTTCATTGTTTCACTTAATCCTTGCTCTTTCCCGTACATTGCAGGCTCAGATAAGTTCCTTTAAAGCCCTAAATAAGTAAAGACGACACTTCAGACTACCGTAAATCATCGGAATGAACCCAAGCAGGTCAAAAGAAACTTTGAAGACCAGGTACTTGAGTCCACATCTGGCCTCAGCAGTTGTGAGTCGTGGTCTGCTGCTTCAGTAGGTTTTATTTTGTTGACGTCGGCTGTCTTTGAGATTAACTATTAGATTCTTTTATTTAGGAACGTTTAAATCTAGTCAATTAGGAAATATATTTAGTGTATACTTCTTGCTGGATAATTCAGGTTGGTAACTCACTTTTGCATTGTACTTACACTAATACCATGTCTGTCAAGAGTTATAAGTTAAACAATTAATGTTTTCGCATTCATTTGTGTCAATTGTTGTTTTAATCGCTTTGGTTCAGTTTTATTATACTATGCTATACTTTATTTAACATACTTCTATGTTGTTGAATTAAATTAAAACAACTTAATGGTGTTATCTCATTATGTTCTGTTGAGAATTCCTTTATAATTCAAGATGAATTATTACAATTCATCATAAATCAAGATGAATATATACAATATGACATAGTATTTTTTTTCTTCTGAGATCTGTAAACATAACTAACATCACAAGAGATTAAATGGCTGATGTCTTACAAAGAACTTAAAAGTTGCCAGTTAGTTTTTTTCTGTTAAACACTTATAATTTTTATCTGGAGTAAAAGTGTATTATTTCTTGTTTTAATATAAGTTTAAATATGTTAAGAAAAACAATGCATAACAAGTTTTATTTGAGTGTTTTCTTTTAAATCCAAATAACTTCAATCCTTTATCATAGTAAATTTGTTAGAAATATTTTCAAATAAATTGTTCAATATACAAACATTGTTTGAATTTGCAAATTCTCATTTTTAAAGAAAATCAACAATAGGATCTACTAAAAATTTAAATTAATTAGTTCATTTGAGTAGCTTCATATCAAAGGCGAGCATCTGTCTTTTTAGAAAGCAGAGAAAAAGTAAATTTTTGTGTTATAGGTTCAACTCAAACTGTTTCTGATGATTTTATTCAAGAATGGTAACGTTGAATTGTGAAAAAAACAATTGATTCAGAAAATTGGCTTTTTCTCAACTTTTTAAAGATGTCATATTCCTATTTGTGTATTAAAAATGTTTTAATATAGTTTTCTTAATAAGTAATAATTCTTTTGGTTAGATTGTTAAGTTTAAGAGTTTTGAATTCGAATTTAAGGAATTGATTTTTTGATCAATTTAAATGATATTTAGACTCAAATGTTACTAGTTATCTTAGTGTAATTTTGTTTCAGTTCTACTGTACAAATGTCACTCCACTCTGATGGGTTATTCTAGATTTCATGATTACACCATAAACGGAATCCCGAGAACTGTCGAGGGTGTCTGAAAGTAGACAGAAATGACTGATCTGCATGATAACGCACCAACCTCAACTGAAAAGCGGGATTTTATGGGAGCGGGGATCAGAAGCAGGAATGTAATTAAGGCCTCAATTTTAACTTATAAGGACCAGTTAAGAGTTTGCCAAAGTCTTAAATCATTTATCAATCCTCTGGTATTCTCGGAATCTCACTTATACTGTGATCAAGAGATCTTGGCCCACCCATCAAAGTAGCGTGTCACTTGTACAGTTATACCTTTGTTTCTTGAAAACAGTTTTTTTCCTTATTTATTTCACTAATATTTCTTTACTCTTGCATAGTTGATAACTAATATTTGTGCTTTGTTTTTAGTGTTTGCGCTGATCATTCATCATTAAAATGGCCAAAAAGAATAGATCCAAAAGAAAAGACAATCTCTTGGCCAGAGAAATTTCTCTGCTGAGTCTTTTTTGTTTGTTTAAAACTTCTGATGCAAACTTCATTTCTGATTCATTATTAAAAAGAAAATCTGAGTTGGAGGAACTATTGAAATCCAATTTGGACTATGGGGACCTTATCGATGTTCTCAAAATGTTGGTTTATGTTTACAATTTAAAAAACAGTAACAAAAGGTCTCAGTTACTAGCTCTAACACATTCAGAAGAATTTGTCAATAACATAAAAAAATTTCTCCAATGTAATAAAAATGATCAATACTTACTTGAAGCGATTGATTTGATCATTTATTTTGTTGATGTTAATATCAATGAGCTTCCAATATCTGATGTATACTATGACAGATTTTACTCTTTATTAAAAGTTCTTCATAATGTTCAAGGAGATGATAAAATTAGCTATTCTTATTGGACGCATGAGATGTGCCTGCTGTTACAGAAAAAAATAATTCATAGGGAACGTATGAAATATTCTTGGAGAGATTTGAACATCCATCCTTCTGCTGTTGATTTGCTTGAAAAGAAGAACTTGATGCCGAACAAGATAAATGGAGCTTATAAAAATACCGAAGAATTTTTGGATACCATTTATAAACTGCTCAAAGAAGACTTTGAAGGTTTCCTGAGGGAAGGGATATTACAGATGAAAGCAGAACTGAGGGGAGCTAAACCTACTGAAAAAGATATTTTAGTCTATAATAATGTTAACATTGAACGCGTCGAGACTGATGAAAATCCTATGAATGGTATTATTCATAGAATAGCCTTTTCAGTAGGTGACGGAGAAAATCAACATGTTAACATCAATAAACCAATCAAGTATGGCTCCCTATTACTGCTGTCACAATACAGTCAATTTACAACCTTTGTTTTAGCTACCGTAATCAGTGATGTGGAGCTACAAAATACCGAAGACAGCTCTCACAAGGTCCTAAAGGTGTCTTTCTTGGGAGATCTTTCTCAAGTAAAAAATTTTTGGCAGTACACAATGTTGGAGTCTAAGAGACTGTTTAAACCTTATTATGAAGTTTTAAAAGCTCTTCATTCGAAAAACATTGAAAATTTTCCAATGGAGAAATATATTGTATATTTAAACAGCACTCCTAGTTGTCCAAGATATATTACAACAGGAACAGAATACAAAATAGACAATGAAACTCTTAAATTATTCAGTAAAGATCCATGGCCTCATAATCTTTTGAATTTAGACCCTTCGCAGATAGAAGCATTGCAGTCAGCACTTATTTATGAATTTGTGTTGATTCAAGGGCCACCAGGATCAGGTAAAACACATCTCGCTCGAACGATTATTGATGTTTTAATCAATAATAAAAGTTTTTTGTCGACTCCTATACTTCTTATTTCACCTGATAATTATTCTGTAGACGTTATTTTAGAATCATTGGTTTCAAAACATAGGAATGTTATAAGGCTAGGTAATCAGACCAAAAGTACTGTTTTAAAAAATCGTACACTTCATAATAAAATGAAACCTTGTGGGAGAGATATAAAAATTAAAATTGAGAGGATTAAGGAATCTTTGCTGCGAAAAATTGGTCAAAATGAAGAAAATATAGAAAATTTGTTGGACTACATGAGGAAGGAACAATGCTGTTATAAAGAAACGTGCGATGAAAATTTTGCTCAGCAAATTCTGTCCGCAAAGGTTGATGTAATTGGTGGTACCACTGTAGGTTGTGCAAGATTACATAAGTTACTGGATAAGGTTCAACCCGAAGTTGGTAAGGACTTTTTAATATGTATATTTTCATTTATACAATCAATATTTTGATAATGAGAATTCTTAACATTTCAATCTTTAGTTTAAATTACTTTACCATCTGATTCCTTAAGAAGTCTACCATATAAAGATTAAAACATTAAAATTGTGGAGATATAGTTCAACTGTAATTAATTGTCAGGCCTAGGGCAAAATCATATGCGACTAAGTAGAAACTAATATTTTTTTCCCTCCAGTATTGCTAAACAAAATATTTAATAATAATACTTTATTTATTCTGGGACAAGTCCGTTTAGAATAATACAGAAAGACAGAAATGTGGGGTTAGGAGCCTCAGAGATACATAAACAAAAATACAGAGTAATTAAATTGAGTATTTAATAGTTGACCGTTGCATTATAAAGGAAGAAGATGGTCCGGGGTAGCGGTCATAAGTAGGCTATAGTAATTAAATAGTCATAATAAAAAAAATTACAAGTTACTTTCTAACTTAAATCAGTTAATAATAAGAAATTGAAAATAAACATAAGTAAAAATAATGAATGATCTAATAATATACATACATATTTACAGTAGTATCTATTTACAATTTTATGGGGACAGGTTGGATAAGAAATTATTAAACAGGCGGGATTTAAAAGTAGGAAGAGTATTGGATTGATGGAGTTCCATAGGGATGAGGATCGAATAATGAACGATCTGTCCAAAGCAGCGGTTCGGTGGACCCTTATGTATGAATCAAAGACTGGGAACGAACAGGATTTGAATTGAAGGAGCTTGGAGATGTATGAAGGATGGTGGGATTGGATAACGTGAAAGAGGAAGGATGGTAGTTAATACTTACGACGGTAGGAAGGGTAAAGCCACTTCAACTCTGTATAAAAACGGGAAACAGAGGTGTCCCTTGGGATCCCGAAGATGAATCGTGTGAAGTAATTTATCAAATGTTTTAGTTTCTCCTCGAGATCCCCAGAGATGCCCCCATATGTGTGGGCGAGGTGGCCGAATGAGCTAACGAGTGTGCACAGCACTGCCGTTGCCCGGTAACCTGACTTATGAGACAACAATGAACAATAGTTCCGAGTTCGCATCCCGGTGCCGGGGGAGTCTTTTAAATCCCCGCCCACAATCCCTGGCCCAGGAGAACCCCGTATAGCCTTAAAAGCAAGGTAGGAGAGGACCCAAAAAAAAAAAAGAAAGATGTCCCCATACATTGTACAGCAATATTCAAAGTGGGGAAAAATTACGGGAGTTACTAGGAGCTTAAGGGTTTCAAGGGGAAATAAGTGACGGAAGTAATTTAGACGTTTTAAGGTGGAAATGGTACAGCAGGAGATATTGGACCCACGGTTTTTTCCAGGAAAGCGTTTACTAACAAGTATATAAATTAGAAGATTGTGATATCATTTTTTAATATTAGTACATATATGAATATTTTGTTAGCAATATCAGAGCATTAAGGAAAAAACAAAATTAATTTTAATTAAGTGCCACATGGATTTTGCCTTTGGGCTAACTTATCATGGTTGAACTATGGCTTACAGATCACTTTGAAAAAAATTTCTATTAAATTGAAGGATTTTTTTATAGTCTATTTTAAATACAAAATATGATTTATATTTATTAATTTATTTGAAATATTTAAAATAATTTTATTTATTGTAATTTAGTGACAATGAATATGAATTTAGTCTCTATTCTTAAATATATTTATTTTCAGTTATTGTTGAAAATGCCAATGAAATTCTTGATGCGCATTTAATTGCTGCATTACCTCAAGGATGTAAACATCTCATTCTGATAGGTTAGTATGAAAATGTTATGTGATAATTGAAGTATTCTCCATTAATTTAAATTTAATTAATATGATATTAAAAAAAAATACCACAAATGATTAAAAAGTGGTTTATTATTTCCAAACAGTTATATTACAGGTGTAACACTACCTTCCTTGCCCCGTAGATGAAAATGAATAAAAGGCGATTCCTGTTATTGGTCTACATAATTTTTACTTTCCTATCTATACTAGGTAAGGAAAGTATTGGGATCGGGTCAAATTTCAGACAGGCGGTTTTTGACGGGTCTATATGGTTCAAAGCCCCTGAGTCCGAAAAAACTGTCTAGCCTGTTTTTTTTTAAATGTAACAAAATTCCCTACAAAACTATATAAAAAGTGTTCTCTAAAAAAATATGTTCTCTTTAAGAAATTAAAGAACTTTAAATTTTGCGTCGAACGAGTACCTAAATTTAATAATTTGGTTTAGTGGTATGACAGAAAACCTCGGTTTACCAATGCTGATTTTTATTAAATTTGTTGAAATCTGCGAAAAATTACTCTAAATGACTCTACACCTTGGAAATTAGTACCCTTAGAGGAAAATCCCATAGAACTAAAGTTGTAGATCATCAAATTTTGCATCCATTGAGTATTAACATATTTAATGTAGGTCAATATATCTCTCAGATCAGGATTTGTTATTTCTTCATGAAATTCGGTTCCTTTAGACACATCCTTTCTCAAAATCTTTCGCTGCTGAGAGGGGGAAAAGAGCCTTATACTGCATATAACAGACTCAGTGGAAGAATAACTCAGTAAAATAGACATCTATACTGTTGAAATATTGGAAATCACACATACCTTAACAATTTCTAGTCATCGGTAGATTACCGATTTAGTTCAGAGAAAGTAGCCTACATTAAAAATGTTAGTACTCATTGGACGCACAATTCGATGCTCTAAAACTTTGGTTCTATGAATTTTTTAGGGAACTCATTTCCAAGATACAGGGCCATTTATAGTAATTTGTCTCAGTTTTTAACAAATTTAATAAAAATCAGCGTTGGTTGACCGTGGTTTTCTACCATACCACTTAACCAAATTATTAAGTTTTAGTGTTCGTTTGACGCAAAATTGAAGGTTCTTTAATTTCTTAAAGAGTATTTTTTTTGCTTTGATGCATCGTTTAGAATATATATGTGAAAAAACAAAACAAGATCGAAAAAATTTGTTTTGTTTTTTGACTGTAAAAGTTTTTTTACCTTTGTAGTACACATTAACAATTTCGTTATTTTCATGTCTAAATCCATGTATACTAGTTAAAAAAATAAAAACTTCCCACTTTTTTCGCAATGAATTTCTCGTTTTGATCCTCAAGTTACTGGCCTAATATTCTTTAAATAAGCTGTTATTTTCGAAAGCAGGTGCTCTGGAATGGCATACATTTTACTTAGAATAATATACACTTTCAATTTACATTCAAACCTTCACCTGCGTCGAGGTCGATTTTTAGGCCTCCGCTCCAGGACTAATATCAACCAAGTTTCATTGAAATTGGTACATTAAGTTTAGACGCTACATTGTATAGCAATACAGGTTTTTTTGGCCACCATCTTGAAAGGAAACACTAGTGGATCCATGATTTAATTTAGGGGGGGCTTCGGCCCGAAAGATTTTTTTTTTATATATATATATAACGATAATTAATTTGAGAAAGAAATGAACTACCTATATGAAATGGTGTTTAAGTGATCATTGAAGTCCTATTAAATGAACAATATAGAGATAGTTTTTAATATTTTTTTCTATAAAACATGGTTATATTTTACCGTTTTGAGGGGGCTTCAGCCCAAAAGCCCCCTTCTCCCCGTAAATCCGCCTATGAAAGGAAAGGGTGGATAGTAATCCTGAGTTCCGAGATATGATTAAATGGGAAAGTAATTTGCCTTTCAAATGAGGCTTTCTAACAATAAGTACTATATTAGACTGTTCCTTGAATCTCTCGTTTGTTTATCAATGACAGTCGCTAAAATAAAATAAATAAGTACTATAGTTTGCCTAGATAAATGTTTTATTGTCTCACTTTTTAGTGCTATGTTTCGCAAAAATTAATACCATATTTTGAAGGGCTTTGATCATCACATACCATCAATCCATTCCACTCTCCCATTAATATTCAATGTCGTCATAAATGAGTAATTCTTGTACATATTTATTACAGGCGATCACAAACAACTCAAGCCAAATATTTGTAATAGAAATTTAGAAAATTATGATTTGGATGTGTCGTTATTCGAAAGGATGATGAGATCTGGTATGAAATGCTGCATGTTGACAAACCAGCATAGAATGAGACCAGAAATAGCATCGCTTCTATCTCCAGCTGTGTATCCTCCGATGAAATACAATCCAACCGTTCACGGTTTACCAAAAATAAGAGGACTGGAACGGAATATTTTTTTCATCGATCATAATGTTGCTGAAAATAAAGTATGACAAACTATTTATAAAATATTAATTAATTTTTAATTGTTTTCAGGCTAATTAACTTGCTGATAACATATAGTATCGAAATATTACTACAAATGTATAACAATATTATATATTTATTTAAAATCAATTTCATTAATTTAAGTACCATAAACCGGGATTTATTTAATAAACCAGAGTTACTTTGGAACTAAGGATGACTATCCTCCACAGTTTATTTTGGACGTGAAATTGACGGGCTGAAACATTTTTGTGTTCAGACAAGTTTTCTTTAGTCTTGATGTAGCAATGCTCCAGTCCGCCCGCCAGCTGCTTTCAAATTCAAAACAAACTAAAATTAAAAAAAAATAAACAATAGATATTCACTCTCTAGTCTCAAAGTAACTTTGCTTTAAGGTAGTTTATTTTATTAAGAAGTTGATTGTGAAAACTTCATTCTTAAATTGAAGGTTGAGACCAAAGGTCTCCAAACTACTCTACTCAGTGCTCGCAAACACTTCTGGTGAAAGTTTCTTTGATTATTTAATCATTTAAACAATATGAAATTTATTAAATCAATCAAAAAGGAGGTTATAATATTTATTGCATGAGTTTTTTCTCTGAAGAACCTAATTTCATAGCTGTCATTTATAGAAAAAGTTTTTTATTTTCATGACAAGCCATGGCCCTCGAAGTTATTTAGTGGAGGTCTCAATGCGGCCCACAGAACTTAGCGCAAGTCTCAATGTGGTCCTTGATGACCAAAATGTTTGGAGACCCCCGGTTTAGACTAAGTGTGTCCGACTGAATAAATAAAACCATTTTTTTTTTTTTTCATGAAGTTTTACTTGGACCGATTAATTGTTATTATTTATTTTGTGTTGTTATAGAAAAAAGATGAAGAAAATTCCTTTTCTAATAGACACGAAGGAGATCTTCTATTATGTCTAGCCAATTACCTCATTTTGCAAGGTTACTCGATAAACGACATGACTATCTTGGTTCCGTATGCAGAACAACTTAAATATATGATAGGAGTAAGTTTCTACTTTTTTATTATTAATAAAGCTCTTTTATTTTTTCATAAATGCCTTTAATTTTTCAAATTAATTATTAAAACAACTCAAAAAATTTTAATGAAGTTTACTAAAGTTTTTTGCTTTAAAGCCCTTTTAAGTATTAAATTAAATACAATTCTAGGTATTTAGAAATTTTTTATTTTTTCTATATACACTGACAGGCAAAAAATTCCACCCACTTGATTTTTTCATGTTTTCATCTAAAAATATTTCTGCTTTGGATTGGTCTATTGTTTTTAATGAATAAATAGGTAAACTTTTTGTTTGTTTTCAATTAGGAATGTTAATATAGAGGACAATAACCCTTAATCCTTAATTCAATGAAATGATTCTAGATTCCAATGTTTACTTTCTATAGAATCAAAATGTTTATTCAGTATCATTAGTTCAGTGCCGTTTCTTGCAGCACATTTCTTAGTCACCGGCTTTTAATTTTTTCAATATTAAGTTTAAAAATACCTCTTAGTGCTGAGGATGTTGTGCATGGTGTGGCACTTATTGATGATGGACGTTCCATTAGATATGCAGCTAATGCCATCAGAGTTCCATATGAAACTTTATGAGACGCCATCAACTTTACAATAGAAGGCCAGGTTCTGGACGGCCTAGGGTAACAGAACCACGGGATAACCGGTTTTTTGACTTTGAGAATTTTACAAAACCGGCACCTTACCATTGTTCAAGCGATTCATCAGCTCGAAGAAGTTCGAGGTGTGCAAATTTCTGAACGTACCGCTCGGAGAAGATTAAATGAGTATGGATTAATGGCTTTTCATCCAGTAAGAGAACCAGAGTTGACCAGAACTAACAGAGTAACACGGCTGGCTTTTGCTCGAGAACACAGCTTTGATTTCCAGACGAGTGTGAAAGGGTGTGGAGAAGAAGAAACGAAAGATATGCAGCCTGTAATTTTTCCCAGAGCCAACCTTTCCAACGTGGTTCCTTAATGGTGTGGGCTGGGATTTCAATGGAGCGCCGCACAGAATTGGTTGTTGTTCGTGGAGGGTCTTTGACGGCCATTCCCTATGTAGATGAGATTTTGGAACCTCATGTGTTGCCTATCCTCAACGAAATCGGCGATTGTTCTATTCTAATGCACGCCCACATGTCGCCCGCATAGTGCAGACGTTCCTTCAACAGAACAATATTGAGGTTATAGCCTGGCCAGCATGTTCTCCAGATTTGAACTCCATTGAGCATTTATGAGATAACCTCGGAAGACTAATAAGAGTGCGTGCAACACTTTCTAATACACTGCAGGACCTTGAAACGGCTCTTCGGGAGGAATGGGCTATCCTACAGCAAAGGGACATTTCCCGACTGGTGGAAAGTATGCCGAGGTGTCTTCAAGAAGTAGTGAAGGCAAGAGAAGGAAACACGGACTACTAAACGATGTAATTAATTTCTGTTAGAATAATAATGGTTCGTTTTCCAATTTTTTTTCTCTAATCTTTCTTATCCAATTATATTTTGATTATTAAAGGTAACAAAGATTATGAAATTCCATAAATACTAAGTATTATCTACAAATACCCTGTATTATATGCAAATACAACTTTTTTTACAAGTGGCAGAAATATTTTTAGATGAAAACATGAAAAAATCAAGTGGGTGGAATTTTTCGCCTGTCAGTGTATATACAAGTTTACATTTCATATGTTTACTTTTATAAATAAAAAAAAAATATATATGATTTCTCATATATTGTTAATTTAACACGTTAGCTGCAATTACGGTCCCCAGGGTCTGATATTCATCTTAACTACCAAATGGCCGGGATTGTTTCGGATTTTATCTATCTTACGAAGTCTCTAAAATGGTAATTTAAAAAAAAAATTAATGGGAGTTGGATAGATGTAAAGATACAAGCATAAATAACCATTATATCTGATAAAATGTTTTCGGGCGCCGGGGACCGATAACGTACCAGGCTGATAAAAAGTGATTTTCCTAAAGTATCATCCGATACATATTCCTGCCGTGACATGGTCTTGTTATCTTCAGGCTTTTGAAACTAGCTCTTGAAAGTTCATCTTAGGCTGTTTCTCTTGCTTATTTAACATGTATAAATAAATAAATAATAAATAACATACATATAAATAATCCCAATATTTCTCACTTCTTCTTCGGTGCGTACTATTTATTTTCAAGTTAATTTATTATCAGCCATATTTACACCAATTTTTAAAAATTTTTGTCAACTTAATGACTACTCATCACAATTACGACATTTCAGCTCGTCGAGCCATTTTTAAGTCTGAAAAAAATTTTCATTTACAATCATATATTAACTTTAGCATATTTCAAATTATAAAGATTCTTATTATGTACCTAAAATACCCATCATGTACCTGTCCTTTTCACTTATGCGAATTGCATGCGTCTACTCATAATAAAATTCCTTATTATTGTCATGTTCACCTTTAATTATTTTACAACATTATTATTACTCCATTCTTTCCTATTAAATGATTCAAATAAGTTCAAATTACCTTGTTCATGAGTCACCCACATGTCATCCATCTCATTTCTATTCAGTGACTGGTTATTCTTATAGGAGTAGGGGAAGTTATATAATAAGTTATAATAAGAATCTTTATAATTTGAAATATGTTAAATGGGTGATAAATATTTAGGACGCAGTCTTATTTAAATTTATTTATTTTTGCCAACGTTTCAACCCAAACATGTGGGTCATCTTCAGGGCTGAAAATTTTTTAAAAATTACAATCAGAGATATAATAGTATACGACCGCTAATTATAAATAATAAACTATAGTGATTGATGGCACATGAATCTTAACTAATATTGTAATACACATATTAAAATTAAATATTAAAATAGTTATACAAACTAAAAATAAAAAAAATAAAAAATAATGTATATAATCCATTTATATACTAAAATATTTAATTTTAATATGTGTATTACAATATTAGTTAAGATTCATGTGCCATCAATCACTATAGTTCATTATTTATAATTAGCGGTCATTTGCCACATGTTTGGGTTGAAACGTTGGCAAAAATAAAAAATTTAAAAAAAGACTGCGTCCTGAATATTTATCACCCATGATATGTATAACAGTTGACTAACTTCCTTCAAGAAATATGTTAAAATTAATATATGATTGTAAATGAAAATTTTTTTTAGACTTACGAGCCGAAACGTCGTAATTGTGATGAGTAGTCATTAAGTTGACAAAAAAATTTAAAAATTGGTGTAAATATGGCTGATAATAAACTTGAAAACATATAAATAATGTATAAATTATATCTTGAAAATTATAATTATATGTAATAAATAAACTTTTTCTCATTTCATTTTCAATATTTAAGATTTGTATCCCTAAAAATAACACTCGTTTACTAAAATAAGGAGATATAATAAAAAACTCGTCATATAAATGGCATCGGGCGTCGGATTTCACTCCTACAATTGCTGACCATTATTGAGAACATAATCAACAGATAGAGATTCTGAATAAGTAATTTAGTTCACCTTTTTTGTCAAAAAATAACAGTATACCTCGAAACTGATGCATGTCTCCAGCATCCGATACCGTTAGGAACTTCATAACTAGTGTCGGTCGCCGGGGACCGATATCGTTGGGAAAGACATTTAAGAGATATGTTCAGCAGCTAACGTGTTAAAAAGAAAAATGTTTTAAAGTGAGTAAACAATTTCATTTTTATGATAAATGATTTATAATTTACAATTTTTATTTGTTAGTTTTAATTTTTTTTATCGTGTTTTACTTCCTGTTTCTCTAAAATGGAAATCTTTATGTAGCAAACAATTTTTGATTCACCGTAACTGGCTGCTACCCAGAAGTTTTATTGTGTAAAAATTGTTAATCTGTAAACTGATGAAATATTATTATATGCTTCTTCTGATTCTGATTGTTTATATTTGTTATTATGTTGTTTTTCAGGCTGCTAAAACCTATCCGCTACTCAAGGGCTTGGAAATCCTCACAATCGACACTTATTCAGGTCATGAAAACACAATAATACTCCTTTCCCTTGTAAGGAGCCAATCAGCTGGAATTGGATTTTTATCTAACAATAATAAAATTGTGGTGGCGCTGTCGAGGGCTACGTCTGGTCTTTATATGATTGGTAACATGAAGACCCTCATGTCAGGTTCTGATTTATGGGTTTCTCTGAATACGGTTCTTAAAAAGAAACAGGCCATAGGTAATAAACTGGATTTATTTTTCTATTGCAAATATTATTTTATTTCTTACCTTACATTATTTTATTTTATAGTTATATTATGATTTATTGTCCATTTGTACATGTTCTATTACTAACAAATAAAAAAATTGTTACTTATCGGAAATTGAATTAATGTTTGTTAGGTACAAGCATCAATTTGCAATGTGTAACACATAATAAAATAAGAGCAGTGACGAAGAAACAAGATTTCGAGCTGTTGATAGGAGGAGGGTGTGATTCGCAATGTAATCTGCCTCTAAACTGCGGCCACTTGTGTAGACTGAAATGTCACCCTCTGCTGGAAGAACACGCTACCTTTATTTGTCGTGAACATTGTTCAAGGTATCAAATCAAATTTAATTATGATAATTTTTATAAATCACTAGTGAATTTGAAGGAGGGGATGCAGGCTTTTGGTCTGAAGCCCCCAAAGTAGAAAGATATATACACTGACTGGCAAAAAATTCCATCCACTTGATTTTCCATGTTTTCATCTAAAAATATTTCTGTAAAGTTGTATTCGTATATAATGCATGGTATTTGTAGATAATACTTAGTATTTATGGAATTTTATAATCTTTTTTACCTTTAATAATCAAAATGTGATTGGGTAAGAAAGATTAGAGAAAAAAAAAATTGAAAAACGAACCATTATTATTCTAAAAGAAATTAATTACATCATCGTTTAGTTGCGCGTCTTTCCTCCTCTTGCCTTCACTACTTCTTGAAGACGCCTCGGCTACTTTCCACCAGTCTTGGAAATGTCCGTTTGCTGGAGGATAGCCCATTCCTCCCGAAGAGCCCTTTCAAGGTCCTGCAGTGTATCAGGAAGTGTTGCTGGCGCTCTTATTCTTCTTCTGAGGTTATCCCATAAATGCTCAATGGGGTTCAAATCTGGAGAACGTGCTGGCCAGGCTAAAACCTCAATATTGTTCTGTTGAATGAACTTCTGCACTATGCGGGCAAAATGTGGGCATGCATTAGAATAGAACAATCGCCGATTTCGTTGAGGATGGGCGACACATGAGGTTCCAGAATCTCATTTACATAGCGAATGGCCGTCAAGGACCCTCCACGAACAACAAACAATTTTGTGCGGCCCTCCATTGAAATCCCAGCCCACACAATTAAGGAACTACGTTGGAAAGGTTGGCTCTGGGAAAAATTACAGGCTGCATATCTTTCATTTCTTCTTCTCCACACCCTTTCACGCCCGTCTGGAGATCGAAGAGCAAATCTTGACTCATCTGTAAAAAGTACAGCACTCCATTCATCCATAGTTCTGGTCAACTCTGGTCCTCTTACTGGACGAAAAGCCATTAATCCATACTCATTTAATCTTTTCCGAGCGGTACGTTCAGAAATTTGCACACCTCGAACTTCTTCGAGCTGATGAATCGCTTGAACAATGGTAAGGTTCCGGTTTCTTAAAATTCTCTAAGTCAAAAACCGGTCATCCCATGTTCTGTTACCCTAGGCCGTCCAGAACCGGGCCTTCTATTGTAAGAAACAGTTTACTGAAAACGCCTGACGGCGTCTCGTGAAGTTTCATATGAAACTATGGCATTAGCTGCATATCTAATGGAACGTCCATCATCAATAAGTGCTACACCATGTGCAACATCCTCAGCACTAAGAGGCATTTTTAAACTTAATATTAAAAAAATTAAAAGCCAGAGACTAAGAAATGTGCTACAAGAAACGGCACTGAACTAATGATACTGAATAAACATTTTGATTCCATAGAAAGTAAACATTGGAATCTAGAATCATTTCATTGAATTAAGGATTAATGGTTATTGTCCTCTATATTAACATTTCTAATTGAAAACAAACAAAAAGAATACCTATTTATTCATTAAAAACAATAGACCAATCCAAAGCAGAAATATTTTTAGATGAAAACATGAAAAAATCAAGTGGGTGGAATTTTTTGCCTGTCAGTGTATAATATATAGGTATCTCTGATTCCTTCCTTCATTAATTGCTTCAAAACCTCAATGTTTTGCATTATCTCATTCCTTATTTGTTGAACAATTGGCTAATTAACCAATTTAAAGATAATTAAAACAAATATGTCTCATTATCTGTTATTTAATTAATCAGACCTTATTAATGTAGGTAATTCTTATTATTATTTAAATTTCTCTTTAAGATTTAGGGTAATTGTAATTTATTATTGTATTACATTTATTGTTGTTAATTGATTATGATCTGTAATTTCATTTTCAATGTTATATTTTATTTTTTATCTCTAGTGTAACATAAGATCTGATAAGACTTCGATATATTAATGTTATAAATTAGTTCAGCTGTTATAAAAAGATGATTTTACACTTTTTTTAGGTGTTAATTACACCATTCAATGTATTTTGAGTTTTTACCGAAGGATTTTACACATTTTGAGTTTTTTTGTGCACGTTTTTCGGATTTTTATTGCACGAAAATCCAGTCTCTAGTTATAATCAATCTGGTCACCATGCCTGCAACCTGCAACTGTAACCAGAGATTTACTTATCAACACTTTAAACAAATGTTTTGCAATTTTTAATATAAATAATAAGAGAATTATAAAAAATAACTAACTATTTTAAACACTTTTATTTTCCAGATTATGTGAGAAGAATCTTCATAAGTGTAAGAAAAGGTGCAATGAAGAATGTGGGGATTGCAATGAAGAAGTTGAGGTAGTTCTACCTTGCGGTCATTCTCTGAAGAAGAAATGCCATATCGACAAAGGTCAGAAAGAAATTTGCACGCAGCCGACAATCGTATCTTACTTGTGTTGTTTACGAAAAGTTGTCCCATGCTGGCAGTCTTATTCGTGTTTTTATAGGAAAGTTGAAGGACCTGTATGATAATAAACTTTATATGTACATATAGTTACATAAGTTTTATATCTAATATTTACATTTTGATTGTTATTTACTTTTTTATTATTATTTAGTTGTTATTTTTCTTCAGTTTATTTTATTTTTTCTGTACATATGGTGTGAATGTACTCTCCCCTCATGATAATTATTGCCTGTAAATGCAAATGGATAACATCTTAATTAGTTATTAATTTTATATTAATTTTTGTTTGTATAAATGTTTACAAACCTGACATTCTATTTTTTATATTACTGTTATTTAATAATTTAAATTATCTTATATAACATATTTCATTGTAAATTGAAAATATTTTATTTAGAACCTAATTTTATTGTGTTAGTACTGTTTAGTTGATTATATTTAATATAAATCAATACTTATTCTGAAATATTATTGTTTACGGGTATAATTCCTTAATTATATTGTGATCATATGGAATTGATGCCAAATAGAATATTTATATTTGTGTAAAAGACATTTGTATATATTTTATTTAATTGATTATTTAAAAAAAAAAATTATTTGTCAAATTTTTTATATGAAAATTTTTAAGAAATATTTGAAAATACTGTATCACTTTATATATTTATTTTTCTCATGATGTAGAGATGGTTGACCATGATATAATATGAGAAGGAGTTGATCGGGGGGTGCTGTCAAATAAATACTAAATTATACAAATAGTATTATTTAATTTTTAATTCGACCCACTTTGCAGGTCTTCATCAGGGCTACAAAAGTTACAAAACATGGTGAAAATAAAATAAATGAATTAAGTATCTTTATTCGTTAACATTCATTTTCTTTAACCTACAGTTCTCAAATGTAATCTTCATTAGTTTGCTATACACTCATTCCTTATCTCTTATCGCAATCTGTTTACTTTTAACTTACATGCTATATTCTCCTTTGTTTTCTATTTTTATTCATACTTATTTTCCATTTTTGTTTGTATCTTTTATATAAATAATACTTGATATTTTAACTACATTGTCACCCACTATATCTCAGATATCATCTTTTTATTTCTGTATCAGACAACTTCTTCTTATTTTATATCTACTTATATTCATTTATTTTATTTTCACCATGTTTTGTATCTTTTGTAGCCCTGATGAAGACCTGTAAAGTGGGTCGAAACGTCAGCAAAAATTAAATAATACTATTTGTTTAATTTAGTATTTATTTGACCGCACCTCCCGATCAACTCCTCATATTATATCAACGGTCAACCATCTCTACATCATTTATTTTTTTTCTTGTTTTTCTAAAATGGAGCTATGACGTCCATTGCCTTCCATCGATATATATATATATATATATATATATATATATATATATATATATATATATATATATATATATACTGGAACTGGTTCTGGTGTGGAGAACTAGTCCAGCAAGTGAGTCTTGTGATCCTTTTCGCTTCCAAGATTCATTTATCGGAGCATTAACATAAAGTTCAGGAACTTTTGTTTTAGAGATTAAAATAAATCTCGCTTATCAAAGTATCAATCTCAATAATCAGGATATTGAAAGCACCTAGGAATCGATAAGACTGAGAAATAGGTTTCAATAAATAACTAATGAATTACAATTAAGTGAAAATTTATTACAGTAAAAAGCAAAATTAGAAACAAGCTATTAAAATTCTATTTAATATTAACCATCATGGATTAATTTTTTCATCACTATGGAAACTGTAAACCTTGCATTTATTTTGATTTAATTTCACTAATATAAATAAATAGAGCATTACGTGAGGATTTGAAAACTCTTAGATAAAGAAAATTACTGTAATGAATCCTTTGATCACAAAAGGATTTGAAAATACATTTATATATCAATTTCATACTATCTCATTTTAATTTTATTGAATCTAGAGAATGATTAGGCAGTTGGTCTACAAAAAGAAAAAATATTTTAACTTCAAAAAATTTAGTCCAATATTGAGCATAAGTCATGTAATCTATATTTATCACAACTTCACTCACTTTTTGATTACATATCTTTTTTATGGTCATAAAGTTTTTTCTTTTAAAATTAAAAATAATACATAATTTATTAAAATGAAATAAATTTTAAAATTCCAGAACAGGTGTGGGCAAAAGGTAAATATCTGTCCTGTTTATTTCAAACCCGAAATCAGCAAAATAATAGTACACTAGATGTTAATATTTTGAGAATTAATAAATTATTAATATTAACAAATATGTCATCTTAGGTTATCATATATTTTAATGAGAAAATTCATACAATATTTAAACATTAATTTGCTGAGGGTTTAGAGGAAATTTGAAACATCAAGACGAACGTAATATGTTTCCAAATTTTGCAAAAAATTAAATGGTGACCAGAATGTAGGGAAATAAACAAAGCTTCACACGTCCTAGGCAGTTTGTAACTCTTCCATACAGAAGTGAAATGCTTAAGAAGCACATCGTAGGATCAAGCTGGCATAGATGAAGTACCTACTTAGAATGGTCAAACAAGGAGAGACCACTTACAAAGTCAGATTATAAGTTGCAAGTGCTTGATCTAAAAACCTTTAAAAAGCGACAGATAAAGTAGTTCTGCTATTAGTGTCCCATGAATAAGGAACAGGTAGGAGGTTCTGAGGACGCCCGAGAATTCTCTATGAGGATTACAAGTAGAGAATAGGAGCGAGTAGAGGGATAGCGGACCTACGTCATAGGTCGAAACTTAGTCAAATAAAATAGACGCTATTACCATGGTTAGTATGTGTCTATTGACCACACCTCTGACCAATTTAAAATAGTTATTATTATAAATTTATTTTCCAGATTTATGATTGTAAAGTAACTCGTTAGAAGGATTATTGTATGATGGCTCCAATAAAAGAAATTATGCAAATGTATATCATTGGATGAACTCACTTAAAATTTTAAAAACTCGAGACCATAAGGAAATAAGTTTATCTAGAGCTAATAGTTGAATTATCAATATTGTTTTTAAAATGACATTTTATATATCTATTAAAATTTTTGAATGGAAAATGAATATACCCACTCCTGTTCAAGAAAATAGTACCATTATCCAAGTTATTAAAAATGGAATGTCTAAAATAAAATCAATATTACATTTTGTTATGATTTCAAACTGATATGAAAGAGCTCATTGAAAAATGACAAATTTGAAATTACCAATTGAATGTCCATTTACTTATAAAATCTCAAGTCCTAATTTAAAAATAATTATGTGTTAAAATTTAACAGCGAAACTTGCGACATCAATTCTTAAAATATGCTCCTCCATTGTAAGGCATGATGATCCTGTAATTTTTCCTTCAGCAATTCAGATCAGTAAATGTTTCCAACATCTCGTCTGCAATTGCTTTGTAGCGTTGTTTTTCTGAGACCAAATCATCTGCAATATATATTTTTCATTTTTGTTCAATCATCATTCAAAACAATAGTGTATCATTTTTGGACACTAATGAGAACTAGAATATAGTCTCTTGATTAATTTGCTATTTGTTTGTGAAAATTGTATGTAAAACTGTTAAATTAAACTGAACTGATGAATATTTCTAAATCTATCTACAAAGGGATTACTTTTATACTCCAAACCAAAACTTCAACTTTATGATCAAGAAAAAAATTAACTTGAAGTAAAATTTTACTAATTATAATAAGAAAAAAAATACTAGTAATTATTTTAATAAATATATTGATCCTGATATACTAAACAATAATTTTAATTTATCTATAACAGAAAATTTATTGGTGTCTCCCCAATTCCATTAATTCTAACTGGGTATGAGACTTTATCGATAATATCTAATGTGTTATTAAATATAGATACAGATATTTATATTTGAATGTGGAATTTAAGATATCTGAAAAATTAAGTTGCTTGATATCCCCGTATTTTTTTTAATAATCAATCTATCTATGTATTATAGTAACTTTCATAGTAATTTCAAATATATTAATACCTAATCGATAAAATTTAAATTTTCGTTCGAAATGTAAAAAGAATATATGAATAAAGTAGAAGTCAATTTCTTCAACAGAGAATCTTGACTAGAACTTTTATTGAGCAAATGTAACAATATAATAATGGACTGAGCTTTCTCTTTATGAGTGCTTACCCAAATAGCAGTTACAAATAAAGCAGATATTTAACTATAATAAAAATTAATAAATAAATAAAATTCTACCTACTACAAATAAGCTTGCTTACATGCTCGACCACATAGACCACCATCAAAACATGCTATTTAAGCATAGAATTGTGATAAATAAATACAAATAATAAGCATAGGACAAAAAGAATAAAATAAAAGGAAGTGCAAAAACTGAAAACATTAAATATATTCGTGTATTTGAGCCTTAAATTATACAAGTATGTGGTAGAACAATGAACAATTTATCCTGTATAAAAAAATATACAGCCACATAATTTTTCAAAGCTATTTAAAATATAGTATGATTGTAAATGAATTACAAAAAACAATCGCAAACTTAACGAATAGCTTTTCAAATATTAAATAATCCAAACAGAACAATGAGCAACAATACAGATACTTTTTTAAAATTTTAAACATGTACATAATGTTACATAACAATTAGATAAATATCAGAAAATACACTTGGCAATCTGCTGGAACAAAAGGCTGGCGTGTAAAATAGTATTTCTTGAAGACATGAAAATAATTTTAACCGACAAGTTCTGAGAAGGTCTGGTCGAGGTCGTCGCAGATGTATTTGTACTTCTCCTTTTCGTGGACAAGTTCGTCTGTAATTGGCAAAATAATGTAAACAATGTAAAATAATTGTAAAAGAAAAAAAAAATCTAGTCGCCCTTCCAGAATGATATATCTTTTGAATGTGATTATCAGAGCACATGGTTGGTTTTGAGCCATTTCTGAATTTTCCATATTCAGCAGGTTAAAGTTAGCAATGTGAAGCTTTTTTAAAACATGACTAAATCTAGAAAATATTCCATGATTATAACAAACATATGAAGCAGTAGTTGCCATTATTATTATAGTTGCAAACCATTCGTAAGTAACTGAAGCTTAAACCAGTAGATCTGCTATAATAAACTCCATCTTATAGCAGTTTATAATACATGCTCAATTTTAATGTGTAGTGGAGAATATATGACTGAAAAAAGAAGTGTAAAAATAACTTTGTAACAGGATTGCATAGCGCTCATAATTGTCTATGGTTAACATTAAGTTAGTTTTCTGAAAACAAAATGTTTCATTTCATAATAGTCATCAATATTAGTAGAAGAAAAAATTAACGGTATGCGAGATAATTAGATTAGATTATGCTTGTTTAGCGAATGTGATTTCTATTTTGCATATCAACTAGTCAGCATGTGTATAATCAAAATAAAGTTAAGAAAATTGTGATATCATAAAGCGCCAACTTAATGATATCACAATCTATTTCTTTAATGCCTATTTGTGGTTCATTAGTTATAGTTATGAATCTGAAGTTCCAACATAAATAAATTTATATTCATTTCATTGGAGTTGTAATGTATCGGAATCTTAAGTTAAGATGTGATTAGATTGTGTTGGTGAATGCATGGATATAAATTATGAATGTAATTATTGAACATAAAATATTTGTTGTTTATCTTTTTGTTTCCGTGCCTTAATCTTATGTTTACCATTTCCAAGCAACCTTTTTTAATGTAATGGTTATATATGATAATTAAAATTAAATTTATTTCACTTTTATAAATTCTTTCCCCATCATACGTCTTACCTTTTTGAGATTTTTACCTCAATTTGGTTTTTGATCAATTATATTATATTCGATAATCAATGATATTTTATTTTATGTTAGATGTATGCTCTCGATTTCCTATATATTTTTTACATAGACTATATTTAGTATTTTATTGTTATAACAAATCGCTAAGAGAAAAAAGAGACACGTCCCACTTTTATTGTGAAAACATTGTAATTAAAAAAATGAAAACATTATGAAGTGATGATAAGAGGCATCTGAGACTTTCAATTTAGTGTATTTCATAGAATATTAATTTATTGTCTTTAATGCAGGAAATTACCTGTATCAAGTATTTGTAAATTAAATATTTTTTAATATTAATCACAAAGTTTGATGAACTGAAAAACCTAAGTTTTAGGATATTAATTTTACTCTTTACATATTCACTATTATATTATAAAAGGTAAGAATTTATGAAATCAACTTTAAGAGGAAATATTAAAAAAAAAAATATTACAAAATAAACAAAAAATCATTTTTTTCTATCTTTTAAATATAGAGCAAAATAACAGAAATATGCAATAAATTAAAATTTAAAAAAAGGTAGGTTTTAAAAACTATCGAAAGATAGCAGCACAAATCAAGAATCCTAAAAAGTAGCAGTTGCCACAAGATGGCAGCCAATTTTTACAAGAATTCCAACCAGGAAAATTTTATTTTGTAATAGGAGAGCAGGAGCCCCTAGGAGCTAAGCTGATCAGGCTGCTCCTGGTCGCCTGGGATAGTTCACCCAACTACCGCATGGTGGCAGCACTTACAGGACTAGGAGCTGGCGTTTCTGTTGAGCTCCTACCGCTTCCCACTATCCTATTACAAAATAAAATTTTCGGAGCTAGAAATTCCCGCAATAAGCGCTGTATTGTGCTGGCCTCTTGTGGCATTAATAAGAACTATTAATTAACAATTTCTCGATTTGTGCTGCCCTCTTTAGGCAATTACTCAAAATATTATTTTGACAATTCTAAAATTACCAATTTTAATACATTGCTATTAGTTTTTGTTTTATTCACTTATGAAATTTTTAATTATCTGTGTACTTAATAATTGAAATACAGCTTTATATATTTATAAACTGTTGAGATAAAATATAAAACTAAAAAGAATAAATATTAAGTAATGTAAAATGCAATGTGCTGGCTAACAACATTCCATATGAGTATAATAGGAAAAATTAGTAAAATTTTAAAATAAACTGTCAAGAGGAAACGGAGACTTTTTAATTTAAAAAAGTTTTATGTAATTATTATCTCTACTAAAAAATTTAGGTATCTACAATGAAGTTGATAAAAAACAAAACAAAAAGCTGTAATTTGGGGAATGGTGACAGCAGCAAGAAATCACATAATTATATTGTATAAAAGTCTGAATACCTGTTTTCATTACCTAACTAACAATAATTAAATATTTTCATTGATGCATCTAAAACTTTTTCTTTCTTAATTTCTTTAAGTGTATATTTATGCTGTTCTACCATTATGTATAGTTTTAAATGCTTTGTTCATAGTTTCTAGTGTTTTGTTTTGTAAATAGTTTTATTTATAGATTATTCACTTAAGGTTTTCTTTCTTTATTTTGTTTTTTAAATGTTATGCATTGTGTCAAATTTTTAGGACAGAAGTAATCTTTTTTTTTTTTTTTTTTACAATTTTATTATTCTAAAGGGACTTAATCCCAGAATAGAGTTGTTTTTCTATCTAAAACGATGGATTTCTCACAAGGTGAATCAAATCTTTCCCTTCCCATACGTTTTAAATATTACCTAAATTAAAAATTTGGTAAGTTTACAAACATTTTTTCATTATAATTATTTACTTTTTTAATTGATAGGGAATAGAACAGTCAAAATGAGACATTTTATTTTCAACAACCTCCTGTCATCTAATAGCATATTACAATCAATAATTTCATAGATAACTGTTACATTTTATTAGTTGTTAACAACTTTTATGCAAAATTAGACCAGGATCGACATTTTGTGGTTTAATTATTGAAATGAATTCTTCTCTTTCCTTTCTTATTAACTTAAGAATTATTTTAATAAATACTGTTTTGTTTCTATTTATTGTTTTTCATCTTTAACTAAGTTTTCTTGTTGTTCAAAGGAAAAATAACTGTACTTAAGCCTATTCATTTTCCCTTTCATTATTTAAAAAAAGTTAAAATAATAATCTACAGGTGATGAAACAGAATGGTTATTTGTAAAAGACAGATTGGGGATAGCAGCAGAGTGTCTTACTTACTCAGTTATCCCAATCCTTAATGTATTTAGGAGGTTCATTTTGCGATATTTAAATATATTGATCGACGAGTGGTTTTTTTACTGAATCAATGAAATATTTCATTCATAAATGCCTCAGAATTTCACATAATAGATTCTTTAACTTCTATAGAAGGATATTGTTATTGTGATATTTAAGTAACAAACAGGTGCTTAATGAATGTGGTTTAAGCTAAGTTGTTTTTGTCTTAATCTGAGCATTAGTCTTACAATAGTTTGGAGGTTATAAGTTGTGCTAGTCCTTGTCTCATCACAGAATATATGAATAATTAAGATGTTAATTAACACATAGCTTTAAAAAATAAATCATTATTTAAATAAACATATTCCTTGTCTTGAAATAAGCATTATTTCATCACCAAATAAAGTAAAAACAAAACAAAACCAAATACAATGGCAATATGTTCAGTTAATTGTGTAAGCAAAATAGAAGAGACATAAATCAGGAATTAGCAATAATTATTAAGTTTTTCAAACTTCAGTTGGCAATGCTCATACTTTTTCTACATTAAAAACCAATATTTTATCTATCCAAGAATCATAATTTCGCATAGAATCAAATTAACAAGTTGCAAGAATTGATTAAGTTTCATAATTACTTTATCTAATTTATTCATTATTAATTTTAAAAATATATTCAGGTAAATAATAATAAATTATTTATTTGAAGGGGGACGGACATTAGTCCTAGAATAAAGGAATTTCTATTCTATTTCATTAAAGCCATTTGTTGCGACATAAGCAGCCAAAATCAAAACAAAATATGCTAATTCCTGATATAAATAGCAGTTTTGATGAATGCTTCTTCTTTACAATTACACATTTTGTATTCTTTATTAAGTGTTAATAGAGCTATGTTGCACGTATATTTCAGAGAAAAAAAGTTAGACAAACACACACAAAAAGGAAATATTAAAAAAAAAAAAAAAGAAGAAAAACAAAAGAAATACAATGGCAGTTTTTATTGCTCTTACAATATAATAAAGAATAATATAATAATCATAATAAAATATATAATCTAAAGAATTTATAAGGAACCTACGAAGGGAGCTGTACAAAAAAACATAAATAATGAATTGGTCGTCACTTCCGGTCGAAAGTGTCGAAAAATGGGAAAAAATTAACTAAATAAAACTTTAAACAGTTAAGAAAAATGAATCTAACAATTTTCTTAATATTTTATACAATAAATTACTATTTTGTAATGAAAAAAAAAATGAACAATATATATAAGATTTATAATTAAATTCAAAAATTATTTTCGCACCATGTTTTAAGTAAGAATAATTAATATTATAAAAATATTAACTTAAACATTTTTTTTTAAATTATTATATATTTATACATATATATATAGAATTTTGAATGAATTCAACAAATAAATAAAAGATTTTTGAGAGAAAACGGTAATAGCATATAATTAAATGTAATCATAACACCTTTCATTAATTAGAAGTTAAATAAAGCGATCTGGTTAGTTATAAGGCTGTACATTCAAGCTCAGCTTCATTAACTGAGCTGATATATAAATTAACAAACAAAAAAAAAATATAAATAAAATAAATAGAGAAAAAAATAAGTTTTGAACCCTGATAATACACAAATATTAGCTGATAAAGCAATTTGAAAAATAAAAACAAAAAAAACAAGCGTGGAGCATCGTGTTACACAGAAATGTGCCCTTGAAGAAGATGTGCGTGTGTAATAATCATGTCATGTGATCAATTAGAGAAATAAATAAAATCAATTCAAAAGCTACTATTAATGGCACACACACATACACACAAAAGTTAAATTATAAAAATGAAAAAAATAAAAATATTTTTCTGAGTTAATGAGGGCAGCTATTTATATTTTTGTTTTTCGGTAAAGTACTCTCTCTCTCTCTGACCGAATTCATGTTTGAACGTCATATGTTTTTTTTTGTCTTTTTTTTTTTAATTTTTAAACAATGATTAACTGATTTTGTTTTGTTTCTTTAATTTTTGTTATTAGATTCCGTACAACTCTACAAAGGCGAGGTCCAGGCCATCCCCAATGTCTCTGTACTTTTCCTTCTCGACAACTATTTCATCTGTAAAATAATAAATAAATTGAGATTCTGTTTATAGGAAGGGAATCGGGAGGGATATGAGAATAAAAAAAAAAAAAAAACACATTAGAAAATAAAATTAAATGTCAATAAAGGTTCTAAAATGCATTAATAATCAGAATATAACAGGGATTTTAGAATGAGTAACTGAATAAAATTTATTTAAATGAGGAAAAGAAGTAAATAACATATTTTGTCGAAAAAAGAACCAGGATTAACACTCAAAGCAGATATTTGAAATATGGGTTTATAATCAATATTTCAGTATTGACATTTAGGTTGCATGTTAAAAATTAAACTAAAAATAAAAAATGGTTTCAGATATCAACTGGTAACGAGCAATTTTCTCAATTAAAAACTTAATCATATCTGAATCCATTGATACAAAAAAAATATATATATAAAATTAAAATAATAAAAAAAGCAAAGGAAAGGAAGAAAATAAAATGAAAAATAAAACATGCATAAAAAAAAAAAGAAAATTCCCGAAATTACTACTGACTACAGAAGAGCTAAAGCACCATGTATAAATTGAAAAAAAACAACTCCCGAAACAGATCCCATCATCACAGTAGAAAATTCTGAAATAACCTTAATTCCATAATTGGAAACTTTAATATTCAAAATGTATTCAAAGAACTTAGTTAGGGTGCCAGGGTTAAGTAAAGATCTTTTCTATTAGCATAAAACAGTTCAATCGTCTAGGTTATCTCCTTCCATATAAGTCCTATCAATTCCTAGTCCATGAACTCTCCTGAGATTTTAAAGCCAAACTTAAACGCCTAATGAATTTCACATTACATCTTGTTTTCAGAATCTCGAGAGATAAACACGTTACCCAGAGTTGAAGTGTCTCTATCTATCCTCCTAGAAATAACTCCTCAGCAACTCTCCTTTAAAATAGTTTCAGGAATGTTACAGTAATATATCTGTTCATGCTAATTCAGCATTTGTCGGAAATGTTAAAGGCTAAGCCGAAGGATTTCTAGTAATCCTCAAACTTTTGTCAACTTTCGCTGTCTCAACGCACACAAGTTTTCAATTCCCTTATGATTTTATATTTATAATGTTTTATTCATCCATTAACAAGCCAAGCTAAGAATTATCTCCTCACAGCTTTTTCTTTATGTGTTTGTCATGGTACTATAAATGAGGTGTGTAAAATCATTTACTTCTTTTTTCCCTACCTCTGTAATAATGACAATAAATTTCCATGGCAATAAAAAAAATACAAATAAATTAAAGAGCCTTTTGGTCCTTTTTTTTTTGCCAGCGCCTGACTGATATCTAGAGATTGGTGCCTGGCCAGAATGACAAAATGCATTTCTTGTGACCGTCATAAAATAAATGTTAATCATCTCAGGCTGGAATAAAACAAATGCGAAATAACAAATATAGCATCATATGCTAATAGAAAAGAACCTTCTTCAATTACTTTTTTAAAAAATATAACAAATAAATACCTTGAATATTTCAGGTTTAAAGTGAAAAAAATTGTAAGAAATAAATGATAAATAAAATAATAAGAGTAGAAACTAAACCCTTTCCCTGAGAAGAAAAGATTTAAGGCAGCAAGATTCCCATTCGAAGGTAAATTAAAAGAACTAAAAAATTAAATGGTGCAAAAATCAAACCTGGACATAAAAGGCTGTGTGCGTTGTTCTATGTAAAACAAAAGTAAAAAAAAAATAAATAAAAATAAATTATCAAAAGTAAAATGGGACGAGGAAGGAGAAAGGATTAAAAGGTCGTGATTGGTGTTGAAGAATCAGTAATCTTTCTTTCGCCTTCGGTCTAAAGAAAGTTTATTGTTGTAATTTTCATTTCAAATGGTCGATAATTATCAGATGAAAATTACAAGAGCGTAGGCAAAAGGCGGAAGAAACATTTACCAATCCTCAACTTGCAGTGACTAGAAACATCCAGAGATCCTTCTTTCGGGAGTCGTAATAAAATATACTTCATATAATTATTCAGATATTATCAATTGTTATTTTATGTAATATGTTATAACAAATAATATATATACAAGATATGAAAAACTTAAAAATATTTATATATTTTACTATAACACTATACGGAAATTCACTTCATTCACATAAGGACGGATATTATATTCAATCATATTAATAACAGTATTATACAGCTATTTAATTTAATGGTACTTCTTTCATGCAACAAATTAATATTATTCGCATTACATTATTTTGCATGGAATAGGACTTAGAAGACATTGCGGATTTTTATAATTGAGTAAAAATTAGTTCAAGATTTGATCACTAGTAAACTGACAAAAATTTGATTCATTATAAATTATTACAAAACACACTTATAAGCTTTATGCCATTTAGACCACGGTAGAAATCGGTTAGCTCCATGAATTTTTAATTAATGCTCGTCAGAAAAGATTAGATCATAACATTAAAAACGTAAAAAGTGCCGAAATTTTTCTTAAGCATACGACAAGACAACCAATGTTACAGATAAGATAGAGCTACGACTAAACAGTTCTTATCCACTTTGAACCTAATGTTTTCCCTTAATTTTTTTCAACGTGCCAATAATTTAATTTTTAAAAATCTGATCACTGTTTCTACTCATAGCCTGCATTTTATTTTTACAATTTAGTTGATTATTACTTCTATTCTCTTACATTTCATTACACAATTTTTTTCAAGTCTTACTAATTTTGACCAGGATTATTTCACATAATTAACATCCTATTTCAATTAAAAAAAAAAATTAAAATAAATACATGTATTATACAAAAACAAGACTAATTTTCCTTTCCTTTACACCTAAATAATAAATAGGAAAAATAAAACTAGCTATCCTTATTATTTTGATAAATAGTAGAGTATATTTAAACTATCGAATCCCAAAAAGAAGGATCTACCTTCAGTAATAAAAAAAAAAATTAAAAAAAAAAAAAAAAAAAAGGTGATCGGGTTAATTATTTAAGGAGAAGGATAGCGCGGAAGGAGAAAGACGGAACTCTTGGTTACATGTTCTGTATGTCATGGAGGGTGGCTTCCATCTCTTCTTGGAGCAGTTTGTTCTTCTCCTTCTCGACGACGAGATCATCTGCATCCGCAAACACGCGCAACACAAAAACAAACAACAAATCATGCAAGGGAAATCAAAATAAAATTATTTAAAAAAAAAAATTAATATACAAAGAAAAAAAAACTCAGGCCATTATTAAGAAACTGAGGCAGAATTTCAAGTTAAAATATATAATAAAAAATGAAAAATAATTTAACAAAATACAAATAAATTTTTGAAAGGATAGTATAAGAACACACTTCAAAGTAAACTTTTTAAAATTTCTTATACAAAAGTAAAGAAGAATTCAACTATTCAACGCTTTGCCAATCCAACCACCATCATCATCAAAATAGAAAAACTCCAGATCACAAATCACTTTTAAAATAGTTAAAATTAAAAAAAAATTCAACTGCTCAATATATAATAGTTTTATTTATTTATAACTTTGCACTCCTACATGATAAGAAAAGTATTGCAAAAGAGTGAAATTCCTGATGTGCAGTTTTCAATTAATCTTTACATTTCAGAGTCTGAAAAACACATTTTTAGACCATTTTTTGAAAGGTTATAAAATTTCGAAAAAAAAAAACAAACAAAATAATCGTTTAAATCAGACGGATTTTAGCAAAGTTACAGTTTATTGAATCTGATTACTATATTCAATTCATCAAAAAAATCGCACTCTTTATCATTTCTCAACCGGCTTTCAGGAAAATTATTCTCATTCAATTTTTTTTTTTTTGAAAGGATATATTTAAAGTTGTATAAATTTGTCTAAAATCGGTAAGTCATTTAAGTAGATACACCAGATTTCTTAATAAAAGTTCTTTTGATATATATATATATAAATAATGAAAACTGTATCTATTTCTCGAACTTTCGAAGTGATCTATTATTTCTATTATAGAGGATATAGGTACTGGAGGTCCTATCTAAAGCTAACTTGAAGTTGCCGCTGCATACTTCCCAGAGTGAGAGTGTCAAAAGATTCATTTCCCAGGGCCACTGAAAAATGAAAATTAACCAAACCACAACGTTCAGAACCGGGCACTTTAGAACCCACGCTCCGATGCGCTTGGTTATCATGTCCTTTATCACTATTAGGTAAGACTTTTCTAGTTTATATGAGACGAGTTGTCTCTGGTCTACATTTAAATGATTTCATCTTTTCCTATCCCTGATGATACTTGAATTGGCAAATCGTCGAGCTATTTACTCTCATTCATTAAAAATCATATTAATGCATTAAATATTCTTTTTTCAGATTAATTTATATGATAATAAATTAACTCTGCTTCAGTTATAACAAAACAAAAAAATTAAATAACTTATTAGAAAAAAAAATTAAAAATAAAACAAACTTAAAATTGTTACTAAAATTAAAGGCTAGAGCATTCAAAGCCACTCAGCACTCGTTAAAAAAAAAAAATCAACACTAAAAATAAAACGTAATCATGTGCTCTGAACTACTTACATTTACTTAAGGATCAACCAACAAATACAATTAATTCAACTTCATTACTAACGGAATGGGCAATACGTAGGGCATAGGTATGCATTACAATACGAAGGGCATAGGTATGAAGTACAATACAGCTACCTTCATGCTCATTGGTGAAACATATTTTAAACAATAAGAAACATTTTTAATGTTTTAAATTAATCATAAAAATTACTTCAATAAATTATATTAGAATAATATATTTTTGATAATTTTTAAAATTATTTAAGAACCCATAAAAAATTGAACTACCTAACCTTGAAAATTAATAATAATGCATTCAAAATAAGAGCAATATAAATATTTTTTTACAGAAATGGCCAACCTTGAGGGAATCGTATGATCTAGAAAAAGAAATTAGCAACCCGACATTGAAAAAAAAAAAGTATAAAAAGTGTGATGAACAGTATAAAAAATAATGAACCAATTGAAATTAATTTATTAACAACTATTTCCATGGTTTAGCTAGTATCCTTGCCTTTATTTGGCAATTTCAAAAAGATAAATACAAACGTTTTTGGGTAGATACTTTACGCAAGAAGCAACAAATCTATAAGCACAGGGAACCACAAGCGGATTCCAATTTTTCGGGCTTAAGCCCCCGGAAAAACAAAGAAACATTCTTTTCATGAGTCAATATTGTTAAATACTTTAACAATCACAATATATCATTTATTTAAATTATGGTGTAGGTACTTCAGCTTATAAATGTAACAACATGTCAAGAAAAAATATATAAAAATTTTATCCCGAAAAGCATAAAAGGTTCCTGTCAATACGTTATTAAAAAAAAAAAATCAACTCCTCAAAAATTAAATCCTAAATCTGCTTTAATCTTATTTCCACACTGTCCCATCTCAGTTTTTTACTAACCAATGACTTGAAATAAATAAATGAACAAAATTAATAGAAAAATCTACAACGTGCCCCAATTCTCCTAAATTTCCCATTTCTCTTCAAAAATCCCTTAAAATGTAACATAAGCATTAAAGACTATCCAATCCTATCCAAATTCCACATTAAAACAACATCCTAAGGGAGAAAAAATTTAAACAATAACTTTCTGCAAAATGTTTTATGAATATAGAGTAACACTTATTAAACATTATCAGCATTATTAGAAATATTACTATGAAAAAGAAAAAAAAATTCAAAGCACGTAGACACATTTAAAATCTGAACTAGTTTTAAATGAGTCTAAAAAATCAGAAAAACCCTAAATTACTAAAGGTTGGCCATCCTTATTTTGAATTTATTATTTTTATAAATTTTTTGTTTTCAAAAAAAAAAAAAAAATTAAAATTTAATATATTTCTCAAACTATAATTTCTAATAAATTAATAAACATTTTAGATATTGAAAAATAAAATGATTTTATATGAGCGAGGTTAAATTGATTATCGATATGAAAAGTTTGCTTACCCTCCAGCCTGTCAACTTCCTTCTGCAATTTCTGAACGGAACGCTCGGCGAATTCAGCGCGAGCTTCAGCCTATTCAAAAAGAAGACAATAAATAAAATGAGTTAATAAACAATATATATATATATATATATATATATATATATATATATATATATATATATATATATATATATATATCGATTGTTAATGTTATTAAAATACACCATTCAAACACACACATTATAAAAAGTCATTATAGTTTCTAATTTGGAGTAATTAGATATTTCAATTAGTTAATAACGTGTAACAAGATTTCATATAAAATAGATCGAATAGATAAAAGTGACAAGTAATATTTTTTATTTTGATATAAACCAAAAGATCAGTTGAAACAAGTTGATCTTCAATACAGAAATAAATGCTAGAGGTTTTGCATTTTATTATGAATAGCTAAATCGTCGACACCGTGTTAAAGTAACGAATTTGAGCCTGTTGCACATTCGTTACTCCAACATGGTGCTCATGAAATAGTTTAACTATTTTATTAAGAACAAAGAAAGTAATTAATAATAACAGTATTAATTAACAATAATCTAATTTCTCAAATATTTAACTTATCATCTTTCATCACTTGATCCATCAATTAACACACCATAGGCAGAGGTCATAAAAGGAAAATTTTATGTTGAATAAAACATTTTGAAACTTAAATTTGCACATTTGGACATTAATAATCTCTATAATATAAAAACGTTTTTAGTGAATGTGTCATATTTTATTTTATATATACAAAGTCAGATGTACAGAAACGAAGACACCATAATTCTTATCCCCAGAATTATTCTTCCTTATTACAGTTGCAAATTGGCAATAAGGCATGATATATAATATAGACCTAATTTTTTTAAGAAATTGAAAATTTGTCCGAACTGCAGTTCCGTTCCGTCTATTTTATATTGATAAAAAAATATACATTCTGAACAATTAGATGGACAGTTGTAAAAATGATTAAAAAATTCAATGGAGAAATTACTTTATACAAAAAAATATTCACGAATCTCAATAAAAATGTTTTGAAAAGTATAATTCATAGATGATTTACTTTTGAGACTTTCTACCACCACGTAATTTACAAACTTACAAGATTTATTATTATTCCTTAAACAAAACAATAAATAAGTACACGATAGAGACTATCAAATCAATTTGTAGAACATTAGATGTTTTGATTGGTAGCGCTAAAAAATATTATTTCAATTGATAACCCAAACAAATGAAAAATTAATTTTCCACTATATTATAAGAGTCTTTAAAAGAACGGAATCTAAAGTTAACATCAATAAAAACAATGAGACAATCTTTGCATATAGTGTGTTAAAAGGAAAAAAAATGTATATTTTTTATTATCAGAAGTACATTTTATATATTTAAATAAATGAATTAATTTATCAAAAACAAAATCATGCTCTTTGGAAATTGTTAATGATGTATTCGAATAGAAAATTAAAAGGAAGCATTTTGATTTTGTCGGTTTACTGCAAATAGTCATTAAATAACAATTCCCATAATCAAATAAGAAATTTGATCGACAAAAACATTCATAAAAATCCAGCAGCATGAAAAATATACTTAATGACTTTCAGCGGTAAACCAATGATTTCTTTTTCTCTGATTCAAATTGCTCATTATTTTGTTTAGATTTTTTTAAGCATTGAAATTCAGAAAAAAAACAACAGAAAAAAAGCATAATTTGTGATGACATAATACTTCCATTTAAATTTTGGAGTTAATTAAATAATTAAAACTTTAACAAAAAATCCAAACATGTTAAAAATTAAAAGAAAAAAAAACTATTAACATAATAAAATGTTTTCGAAACACTGCAAATAACGCCAACATAACTTACTTGCTTGTATGATATACTATTTGCTGGACAAAGTTTCAAAATTAAATAGAGGATTGTAACTAATGGAAAAAATAAAATATTTTTATCAATAATAACACAATTAAAAATATTTATTATTTTTGTGTGTTATGGGGTCGGAAAAATGATTCTATCAAATTAAAAGTAGTAAAAGAGAATTTTTTTCAGTTATTTGATCATAATACGACCAAACTTATATAAACAATAAAAGAACAAACGATATAAATAAATTAAAATCAGAAAAATATTTGTTATTTTTAAATTTTATCCTCTCAATATAACATGTTTGATTAAGGCATTAGATTCTACATTAAAGAAAGAAAAAAAATGACATAATAAAATATAAAAAGAAAATACAATGTTTAGCCATCGTATATAAAGCACTAAGAAACAAATTGAAGTGGGACCCAACTTAACAAGAAGAGTTTTAAGAATTACATTATTTGATATATATTTTTTTTTAAATATTTCATTTACTATAAAAAATAATGTAAAAGTTATAGCTGGAATGTTTATTCTCCGCATTTTATTTTTCTCATCTAAGTGAAGGAATATACTTTACCTCTTTTAATTGCGCTGATAAGGCTTTAACTTGTTCCTCAAAGTTTTCTTCCCTCTGTGTCGCCTTTTTTTTTTCATAACAGAACATACACACAATGATTATAAAAAACAGCAAGCAATAAAATAAAAAAATATTAATAAAAACAAAAAAAATATTAAAGAAAAGTTAATATACACAAGCAGTTAAGAGTACAGGCCTAAATCTGTAATTAAGAAAAATAAAACCAAAACACAATGGGCATAAAACGACAGAAATAAAAGCACACAATGCCCTGGTTTATGTTAGGCACACGACTGTACCTCCTTAAGTCTGTTTGTAAGGGTCTTAATTTGGTTCTTGTACTCTTCTTCTCTCTGGTTTGCCTGTACAACATTTCATATAATATTTATTATAAATAATATGAAATACATTTTGTACCAAAATAACAGTTTTTTTGTTTTTTTTAATTGATAGAATGAAAAACATTAAATACCAATGATAAATTATTACCAATATTTATAAAATAATATTGTGAGCCATCAAGAAATAGATAAGTTTCCAAATTTTTTTTACCTAAAAAAAATGTATGTAAAATTTTTCTACTATTACTATGTTGAATCACTTCACATTTTTTTCACAATCGTCGAATACATAGTCGATTTAAAACTATATCTTATGTAAATATGATAAATTAAAAGACAATGTTAAAAATATGATAGCACCAAATAATTAACATTGGGGAAAAAAGAATACTTGCCAAAATAAATATAAACAACTGGGATACTATTTGCATAACTTTAAGTTTACTAGTGCGTTAAAAGAAAAACTGTAGAAAAAAAAAAAGAGATATTCTATTAACTATTGAGTAAATAACTATTTACTAATTGATTAACCGTTCCTATCTTTTTTTCACCTCAGAATTCCAGTCATTTAAAAAATTTTTCGAGGCACCTCTGATGTGCTAGAAAAATGTTAAGAGGTATCTTTTGTAACATTTAAAAAATAAAATTCGTAGCTCACTTATCTTTAAAGATGTACTGTAACAGAATTACAAATTTTTTTTGCAATATATATAAAAACCAAATTTTTCCCAGATATTATCTTCAATTTGAATGATTGTAATTACAATTTTGTTATTAATAAAAATAAAATTATTTTTAACTCTTGGAATATCTATTCACCAAACATTTTATGATAATTTAAATTTTAAATATTAATTCCATGGCACCCAGTTGGAATCCCTGACATAAACCCTTCAATAAGTATTTTTGATCAAATTACTTAAATGTAATATTTATAAAATCTTTTACATTAGATTACAAATATATGTTATAATAACTATTTATGTAACATAATTTAATGCACAGTATGTATAAATTATATTTATGTATTTGACAAATTTTAATATTAATATACTTTTATTAATATTAATATATAATATACTTTCTTTGAAGTCTTCAGAAGTTAAATTAAAAACTTTCTAGAACCGACATTAAAGATATGGTTCTTACGACTTTTCCTTTTTGAGACACATTTTTTATGTGGCTCTTACTGCATATTACGAATATAGGTAAGTAAAGGAGACGCGGAGGGCCAAACGGGTTAACATATGTGATAAAAATAGTCACGAGTTCGCTTCCCAGTGCCGGGGGAGTCTTTTAAATCCCAGCCCTCATTCCCTGGACCGGGAAAAACCTAAAGGGGAGGACCAAAAAACAAAAAAAAAATATATATATATATATGTGTGTATGTAAGTGAAACTAAAAATATATTAATTTTGACTTCATCGGATTCCCTATATTTATAGATAAGAGTTTTGAGGCCTCTTTTTCTAACATTTTCTCGGTTCTTTCCGCATTCTTTTGTTACAATCCGTTTTCTTCACTTAAAACAAAACTGGTAAAAATAAGATGAAAACCTCACAATAAAATTTCCTGTGCATTAACAAAATTAGAAAATTTTTAAATAGACCCCAGATTTAAGCTATAGGCCATATAATTTGTACTTTACTTTGTATTAACTCATCATTGTTATTCTAAAGGGACTTAGTCCCAGAATAAAGTTTAATTTTCTATTCTATTCTATTCTATAATATTAATTTTTTTTTTTTACTTCGATACACTTACGAGGTTTCCTGATGAATCTTCACAAAAATAACTTCATCATATTACCATAAATTTAAAAAATCTCATAGTTATTGAATAAAATAAAAAGGATCAGTTGTCAAAATAAAAAAAAAGTCTGTAAATTTATCCTCAAAGTAGAGAAGCAAATATCACAATTATTAAGTTATTATTGAAAAAATTCCAAACCATACAACCTTTTATGTCTCCAAAATGTAGGCAAACAAAAATCCCACATTTTGCCAATTCAGACATTATCAAGAAAGAAAAAAACAGTTAATCGAACATCACTCCATGAAATCCAATCGCATACTCTAAGTGCGTCTGAAGTATGCGATTGAATTCCATGGAGTTATGTTTGATTAGCCATTTTCTTCTGTCCTGAGGATGATGCCTTAATCTGCGAAAAATTGACGGGTTTTTCTTTGCCTGTATGTTTTGGAATTTTTCCTTTAATTTAATCCAACATTTATGTTCCATTTCTTAGTTATTTCGTTACTGATTTATATCACAATTACCTTTTCTTCTGACACTTCCAGTGATTTCAAGTTATTACCAACAACACGGAGTTCTTCCTCAAGTTCTACAATTTTTCTGGAAAAAAAAAGAGAAGACTAAGATGAAAAATCAAGAGTTCAATAAAAGAAAATAAATATGCATCAAATATTCACTAGTTGTTATTAGAAGTTTCTGTTTTATATTTAATGAAAAATAGAAAGTTGTATATTCAGAAACAGTTTTCATTCAAAATCTTTGATGATATTTGTCGTGAATGAATTTGTAAGATAATTTTGAATTAAACCTACATTTTTCCAATTCAATTAAAATAATGAATACAAAAATAACCTCTATTCAGAAAATCGAAAAACAAACTTTTTGAATAACTATTGGCCTTTTAACTTCTTAGTTCTAGATTTCTTTTCATAAGATTTTGTTTTGTAAAATATACCTCGTAAAATTATTAATTCCAAAAATGAGACTTTTTACATTTTTCAATAATAAGTGGTGTTAATGATATACTTCTAAAATAACATTTATTCAAGTAGATATACAGATAATAAAACAGTTTTGAATGCAAATATTATTATTTTCAATATTTTTTTTTTTTAATTGTACTTCACAGAAACTTCTATTCTTTCATTTATTAATCGACAAACAATAACAATTGAATCAGATTGTGATAATATTAAGAATAATAAAAAACAACAACAATCAAAACTAATAAAATAAAAAGCACTAACAACAATAATAAGCAATTCATGAGTGAAAACAACTGCATCAATGGAATATTCTTTGCTGAATTTGACACACCCTTAAATTTGCCCTAATTTAGATAGTCAAATACATTTTGATGAAAGGGGGGGGAGCAGGAGATCACTGTGATTATATGGCATATTTTAGTTCAAAATGAACGATTTAATATGGGGAAACATAATTTTGAATCTACAAATTCAAATAAACTACACTGTTGAAAGTATTTTTGACTTGTGAAATCATAATATAAGGATATATTCCATAAATTCTGAGGGGTGAGTAAAATTAGGCAATGAATTTTCCATATACGTAAATTTAAATCACACAATTGTCAATTGCATAGGCATCAATGCAAAATATGATGTAACTCGGCCATGATTAGTTGACAGCCTGAGGTGGAAGTCATATAATACTAAGTTGAAACGAACATTTCTTTTTTTCACCAACCTTCCAATATTACTAACAACGTATTTACCAATATATACGTACATTAGAAGATTACGATTTCATCTTTCAGTGTATGTATCCATTAATTAATATTTTTTATGTAATATCAGAACATTGAAAAAAAATAAATATTAGTACAACTTAGTGCCTCAAGAGTTCGCTCCTAGGCTGCAAACTAATCGCAATCGAGCTATAAAATGAAAATATTGTTTTGGTAAAATATAAATACGAACAACAAAAAGAAGGAGAAAAAAAAAATGCAAAAAATAAAAGCTTGTTTCATATATATAAAAAATCAAATCAGTAAACATGCAAAAATCCATCCAATTTAATACGATAAGCTATTTCATCATTACTGGAAAGAATCGTGTAAATTGACTTTATGAAAGGTATTTGAACAAACTCAATATTTTTTTATATTTTATTACCCTGCTATCTACTATATATGATATAAAATTTCAATATTTTGATAAAATACTGATTTTAAAGGATGTTACAAGATTATAATATTTAATTTCATTTACGAGAGAGGTCGTAAACTCACAGGTCGCTTTGTTCGGCTCTTTCTTCCGCCCTCTCTAAGTCCTGTTCCATCATGACAAGCTTCCGTGCTACCTGTGAACGTGCGCAGGAGGCAAACAACAAACACATGCTCGGTTAGCAAAAATATTTTAAAAGCATCTAGCAAAAGATTAAATAGCGAAAGTGCTACACAAAACTAAAGACCATATCTACAATAACAGAATGAAAAACATGATAATCAAAATAATATCCAGCAATATAGGTTTTTTTTTTTTTAAATTTCATTCAATTTGTAATTTCAACAGAATAATATTACATACTTATTTTTGAAGATTGGCGCAGCCATTAATAATGAATTATTATTATTATACTAAATTATACAATAGGGTGAATGCACCAGTTATAGACAGGTTGGATTTTAGATGTAAATAATAATCTTGTCGATTTAAAGGTTCCAGTTTTTTCTAGATTGAAGAACAATGCCCTCTATTGACAACTGTATGAACAAAATTCCCAAAAGAAAATTTTAAAATGCCCAATATTGTTGTTTCTATAGTCCTCTTGAGACCAGTGTGTTTCATACCTTCCTACTAACAGTTTTGTTAAGAGTAAGTTGAACATTTATTTATCTTATCTTTATATTTAATTTAAATAAAGATTTTAGAATTTTTCTGAGGTATGTCCATTACTGGTACCGACCCCGTGTCCACTACTAGAACAATAGAATTTTGTGGTGTCTATAACTAGTGCAAAAAGGTGTTTAATTTAAAGTGAAGATTATATCTGCATAAGTGAATGTTTTTTTTCAATTTTAAAGTGCTAAATAAAAAAAGGAGACCCTAGAGATTCTAAACGTCCAGTCGTGAAGTTTATAACTAAAATAATTACAGCGGCATAAGCCAAAAAATACAAAAATTTCCTTAGCTAGATCCATTACTGGAGCGCTTACCATAAATGAGATGATTATATACTGAGAAAAAAACAGTCACAAGGCTTAATTACAGATATACAATGAATCTGGAGACAGATTGCCTTGATATCAAATTAGTCGAACGGGGAATCACAAAAAGAACTAATAAAAATTTAGTGAAATAACAATCTGATTCGGTAAGGAGTAAGTAAAAAACTAATGCAAAGAGAGGGTTTAAATTCAAATTTAACACAGATCAGTAAATGTTAAGCCCGTCGTGAGGATTTCCATTTACACATTCACATGTTTGGCCAAAACTTTAGTTCAATTTCTCTAATTCTTAATCGTGACATTAAACCCTCAATGTACCGTGGTTTGTTTAATGTTACTGTACAAAATAAATAAATGTTGAGTTAGAAAGTGTTTCAGAATTCCGGTTTAAAATGTAAATTTGATTGAATGATATTATATTACTAATAACTCCAATTTGATTAAATAGTAGTCATCGAAAAGTGTATTGAATGTGCTTTATATGGAATGAAAAATCTTTTGAATAGTCTAGAGTTGTGATCCTCAGAAAACTTGATTCTTGGTTTTCTTCCTATAGGCTAATTATTCATATTTACAATGAATTTCATCGCAGCTGAACAAATATGGAAAGTAAACAAACTATGAAATAATCGTTGATTGGTATCCCAAGTAGGAACATAAATTCAGAATTATTTCGTGTTATATAGATTGCAAAACAAAGATGGATTGTTTTGTTAATCTATCTCTTAGTTTGCAGGTCAAAAATATATATCAATATATATAATTAATCTGAAGGAAAAGCTCTATTATGAGGGGGAAAATGAATAAAAATTAATCGCTAAAATATTTATAAGGTGCATCTTATAGACAACAAATTCTGTTTAATCCGGAATCCAGGGACATATAGTTCAGAGAATAAATTTACTTATTTATCTATTGAAATAAATAAATAGTTCTAATTGTTGGACTACTGTATTTTTATTGATTAATATTTGCAAAGCCTTTTACAACTTCAGAAATTTGACAAAAACAATATAATTTGGATTTAAAATTAATTAATTAAGAGTAGGGATGGGTCGGATTGTATGTATCAGATACTTTTATCTGATACTAAAAAAGTATCTGATACAACCAGTAGATACAACCAAAAAGTATCTGATACAAAAGTATCTGATGCTCACATGGATACAAAATGGTTGTCCAGACATGCCACATTGATATAAGAGAAATGTTTAGTTATAATTTTAGTTGTGCACAATTTTTTTAAAACTATCTATTCATTTAGTTTAATTTAATTAAATATTTATTTGTAGATAAATATATTTACGCTTATTTTTTTTTTTTTATGTAATGTTAATTTCAGATATTTTTATCTGATACTGCTATCGGATATTTTTATCTGATACTAGTATCAGATACTTTTATCTGATATTTGTATCAGATATTTTTATCTGATATTTGTATCGGATATTTTTATCTGATATTTGTATCGGATATTTTTATCAGATATTTTTATCAGATATTTTTATCTGATACCCGCATCGGATACTTTTATCTGATATCTGGACTAGATACCCAGCAGTATGCATACTGGCGCTTGGGCTTTTTAGTTAATATATAACAGTTCTAATGACTGTATAGTTATGTCAAGTACTAAGAAAATATTTACACAATTTTTTAAACAAAATATGCTTCATATTTGACAAAAGAATGGAATATATTAAATAAAAATATAACAAATTCTTGCAGAGGAAATATTTTCATAATACAACGTTCTTAAGAATTTTGTAACAATTAAAAAAATTCTTTATAGTTAAGTTTAACATACACACACACACACACACACACACACACACACACATATATATATATATATATATATATATATATATATTTTTTTTTTTTTTTTTTTTTTTTTTTTCTGTTTGTATTACAGACCATGTAGATCTTTTGCCACCTTAACAACTATGCTCAATCTCTACCTCTCTTGGGCTATTTCTTTCCATTATCTAATATTTGTATCGGATATTTTTATCTGATACTCGCATTGGATACTTTTATCTGATACCTGGACTAGATACCCAGCGGTATGCATACTGGCACTTGGGCTTGATATCTCAATAATTGTATCAGATATTTTAATCCAACTGTAATTGATTATTGATCGGGTTTGATATTTTAATACCTATTTGATACCTAATAAAACATACATTAAATATGTACCTATATATATTTTATTCCTTTATTATTAAATTTGTCCCTGTAATAAATATTTTACACCATTTTTAAATATAATAGTTCTAATGACTTTATAGTTATGTCAGGTACTATGAAGATATTCACTACAGGATAGCTAAGTTTAACATCCTCACACACACATATATATTTTTTATTTTCACTGATCAATCTACATCTTGGGATTTAGATTATATAGGACTTGTATAATGTTTACAATACTATTATTGTATTCTTTGAACATATTGAGGTACATGGGTAAATCATTTAAAGTAAATATTTATCCACTCTTTTATTATTATTTTTTTCATTAATACAATGGTATGACAACAAAAGTAATTTATCGTTCATTCCAAATTTCAGTTAAAATTCCATAGTTTATTGTTTTTAGTAACTATCTTGCTGTATTGGGACCTTATTGCTCATATTATGTTTTTAATATATCAGTATAGTTATGTAAATCCTTCTGTTATTACTTATTTTTTAGTTTTTTTTATTGTAATATGCATTTTGGCCAGATGTTATGTTAATTTTTATGTACAATATTGTTATTCTCAAGGGACTTTGTCCCAGAATAAAGGTGATTCTTCTATTCTATATATATATATTTATTTTTTCTGTTTGCATTACAGACGATGTAGATCTTTTGCCACCTTAACAAGTATGCTCAATCTCTACCTGTCTTGGGCTATTTTTATTATAGTAGGCAAAAGACCACGTCGAAGGCCAAAAAGCAGATGGATAGATAGAATCAACAAAGATAGAATAGAGCTGCGTGCATATAAATGGCAAAAAATAGCCCAAGACAGGCAGAGATTGAGCATACTTGTTAAGGTGGCAAAAGATCTACATCGTCTGTAATGCAAACAGAAAAAATAAATATATATATAGAATAGAAGAATCACCTTTATTCTGGGACAAAGTCCCTTGAGAATAAAAATATTGTACATAAAAATTAACATAACATCTGGCCAAAATGCATATTACAATAAAAAAAACTAAAAAATAAGTAATAACAGAAGGATTTACATAACTATACTGATATATTAAAAACATAATATGAGCAATAAGGTCCCAATACAGCAAGATAGTTACTAAAAACAATAAACTATGGAATTTTAACTGAAATTTGGAATGAACGATAAATTACTTTTGTTGTCATACCATTGTATTAATGAAAAAAATAATAATAAAAGAGTGGATAAATATTTACTTTAAATGATTTACCCATGTACCTCAATATGTTCAAAGAATACAATAATAGTATTGTAAACATTATACAAGTCCTATATAATCTAAATCCCAAGATGTAGATTAATCAGTGAAAATAAAAAATATATATGTGTGTGTGAGTATGTTAAACGTAGCTATTAAGAATTTTTTCAATTGTTACAAAATTCTTAAGAACGTTGTATTAGGAAAAAATTTTCTCTGCATGAATTTGTTATATTTTATTTAATATATTCCATTCTTTTGTCTAATATGAATCACATTTTGTTTTAAAAACTGTGTGAATATCTTCATAGTACCTGACATAACTATAAAGTCATTAGAACTACTATATATTAACTAATAAGTCCAAGACTAGACTAGACACCAAGCGCCAGCATGCATACCGCTGGGTATCTAGTCCAGGTATCAGATAAAAATATCAGATAAAAGTATCCGATGCGGGTATCAGATAAAAATATCTGATACAAATATCAGATAAAAATATCCGATACAAATATCAGATAAAAATATCTGATACAAATATCAGATAAAAGTATCTGATGCCAGTATCAGATAAAAATATCTGATACTAGTATCAGATAAAAAGTAGTAGGAAGGTCATGACCAACTACTGACCCATTTGTATCAGATACAAAAGTATCAGATAAAAGTATCAGATACAAAAAAGTACCCGTATCAGTTGTAT